CGTATGACACTACTGTCGATTAAAATTGGATCTGTGATTTAGTATTTTTAAAATGCAGTATATTTACGCTGTCCGTGATACAGTGACTGCCAGATTTTCTGCTCTCCCTCAGTCCTACCAACTCCAGCACTCCGTACATAATACTCTTTTCCACTGTCAATGTTTTGTCTCCTGAATGGTTTCTTGAATGCATGAAGGCTGAAACCTAGAGAAATGGTTTTATCGCTTGATATTCTGTCCTTTCCACGGCCCCAAATTAAAATTTAATTTAAATAAAAAGAGAAAACTAGTCAAAATTGTGTGTGGCATACCTTAGTCGTACAGGACTCGCAAGTGCCCTGTTGGAATGTCATTGTGAGACAATGTTGCTTTAATAGATAAGTCTGTTGGTATGGGCTATGGGTTTGGAAGTGATTTTAGCAGTCATCCTGCGCACAAATCCACATTTCAAATGTATTAATTGATATGTGTTTTCAATGGCAGTCCATAACTGTTTTTATTGTTAAAAAACACAATCCTGTTTCAACAATGATTTCTTCACTTATATAGTATATATAAATGTGCCACAACACAGTAGAATCGGGAGTTTGTCTATTTTTGACATGTAGAGTTTTGGGTGGAATCTTAGAGCTGTTTCATTTGTCTAGCTTTCAATTTTTAAAATACTCATCTGTCTTGAATAGCAGTTGAAATATTTGCGATTGAAGGAGGTAAGGGTTGCCTGGTTTCGGAGGTAAAATTAGCAAGAAAGTGGCCACGTAAGTTTTGTGACTTCCAAAGCTTCGGCCTTTGGAGACTATAGATTAAAAATTTTTTTCGTGTCTTTAATAATTTTTTCCCCCAGAAAAATCGACATAGAAATATGTTTTGGTAAAAATTATATATGGACGTAAAAAGCGTTGAGCTAAAATAGTCCCCCCAAAAAGTTAAATGCCCAATTAAATGCGATTCTTTGTGATTTCACTATTTTGAAGAGGGCCTGATTTCATCATGGTGCCGCATATATGCACACACAAACACAAGGAAGTGGTTGGAGGGTGTGACTGGTCGGTCCTGCTTTTTTACTTTACCTCTGTTGTTTCTGTTTGTCTTACCTTTTTCCAGCACTAAACGTTTTTTCTTTCCTCTTGCTTACTATCGTCCTTTTCCTCTACTCCTATGTTTGTCACTCTCTTGGGAACTGCTTTTTTCAGGGTGCCTTGATAGTCGAAGCAGACTTTGTACTGTTGAGGCTAGAGAGGTGACTAAGTAAGCCTGATTCCCCGTTTGGACTTTTCTGTTGACATCGACCCCTCGGCGCTCGTATGACCTTTATGCAGTTGCGAGCACCGTAAAACCTTACTAAAACGAACTAAATGACCATTATGTACACTCCTCCTTGCTCAAACAAAAACACATGCATTGATACACAAATACAGTTAACCCTATCCGTTGGTTGTGTTTTACTATCGTATCCATACGACGTGGGGAACTCTGTGCCACCACTTTCCAAAGAGGAAATTTACCCGTTATTCCGATTCGCACACTTTGCGTAGCAGTCTTGTCAAAATGATTTTTTGAGAAATACTGAAAGTTTCAAAGATATCGTCGTACTAAAAGCATTCTAAAATGTGAAGCCTCAAATGGAGTTATTGGTATCATCTTAAAGTCTGTCCATTTGCCTTGCTTTTGATGAAAAATATATCCATTTGTCTTGGATACAAGTGAAGACTGGTTTCATAGTTAATATTAGCGAAAAAATTGTCGCCAAAGTTAAGTTGTGGGTAGTTGGCGGGTGCTCTGGTGTGGTGTGCTTCTTCTTTCCTATCAAACTTCTATTGTTAAATCTCTCCTTCTTTGTTGTGTTTGTTACTCTCTTGTAACACCTAATATTTGGCACTTATATGACCTTATTGTGTTGCAAGTGCTGTAAAACACAACTACTAAAAAAACAAATGTTTAGTTATTTCCATATCTTGAGTGTCCATGGAAACTGAAAATTTACATGTTTTGTGCATTTAATCAATGTTTTTCAGTAAAATCCACACAGAAATGTGTTCTTTAATTTACTTGAAAGGTGTTGAGCCAAAAAAAAAAAATCCAATAAAAACTGCCTATCCTGCGGGAAAATGACTGTTTCTTCACTTTCATGATTTTGACGAGCGCTTGATTTCACCAAGCTGCCTCGTATATATATTAGTATTAATAGAAGCAAGCTCTGCTCAAACGCAACTATTTGTACTGGGGGTAATCATTGTTTTACCCCTTCTCTTCTTTGTCTTTCCTGATTTTTTGCCAAAATACCTAAAATTGACCCTAATTCTACGTAAAGTGGGATATTTGAGGGAGGCTGCCTTGGTTCCGTTTTTCAGTTTCCAGTTGCAGTCTGCTGTTTGAAGAGGCGCAAAGTTTTGTTAAATGGCACCAATATTTTTTTAATCTAAAAAGCTTAGCTAAATCACTAGATATGTGCCAGTCAGATACTGGTGCTGGTCCATGGGGTCTCGCTTACCGTAAGTCAGTTTGATTAATTCATATGGCAGCTGAAGTCATTTTTGTTTTTAAATTAAGAAGATGAATATTTAGAGAGATTTGCTTTTGGCCAGTACATGTTTTATGTTACTGTTGTATTGTAAAGCACTCAGAGCCTGTGTATACTTTAATCGGGACTGAGCACTGCTATATAAATGTCATTCATTATTTATTATTATATAAAATTAACTCATAAAGAAATAAAAGCAACCCCTCGGGGCGGTACTACTGACCGAAGTGTCTTTGGGCCTTTCCCAAAGAGGGGATATTTATTGTTCTAATGCACAGTAGATGGGCTGATCCAACAATATCATGCTCATAACTGTGCCTGAACTACAACAGGGAACTGCTGCTTTTTCTTTCCTAATCCTTACTATCATCATTTTTCTCTACTTCTTTTGTTTGTCACACTCTTGTGACCCGCTATTTCCGGGGTGCCTTGATAGTTAAAGCAGACTTTGTGCTGTTGAAGCTAGTGTAGAGAGGTGAGCAGAGTAAGTCTGATTCCCTGTAAGGACTTCTCTGTTGACATCCACTTGACCCCCCCCTTGGCGTTCATACGACCTTTAGCTGTTGCGAGCGCCGTAAAACCTCTACTAAAACTAAAACTAAGAAATAAAAGCAATTTTTCATCATGAAAAGAGTGATTCTGACTGAAAATAGTTCGGGCTACTTTTAATGGTCTATAATCTTAAGTGATAACTCAGAACCTTACATCAGGTCTTGGGATGATAAAATAGCAGTTTATTATTATCTGAAACCATAAAAATTATACAGTACCGGTTTAGTTGAAAATCTACCACGATATTTGTGGTTTAGTTGAAGGTCTGCAATGGGACCGTTCTGATACATGTACATGTTCATTTTATGGTCTGCCAGTTGAGACAGGCTTTGGGTTTGTGACATTATGATTGATCAGTATTCATTTTCCCTTTATGTTTATATAGGGTTAAGACTGTGATTGGCTATATAATTGTTATATATTATTATTAAATGTTTTGGGGTTTTGTTGTTTGTCATTGGAGAGTGGGTGAAGTTGAGGGGGAAGGGGGGCTGAGAGACTTATGAAAATAGTTCACTTGCTGTTGCGACTTGCTGTTCAATCATGACGTTTACCTCTGAAAAATTCTTTAACGTAAATGACAACAGGAAGAAATCCACTTGCCCAATTGCTGCAATTGTATAACGCCACTGACTAGTCTAAATGCGTGGTGAAATCAGGCTCTTTTCAAGAACGATGAAATCAAAGAAACCGCCATTTTTCTGAACGTAGGGCAATTTTTTAGAATTTTATTTTATTTCAACACCTTTTATGTCCTTATGAAAACATATTTTTGTGTGGATGTTACTGAAAAACGTTCGTTCATGAAAGGCACGAAAAATATAGATGTACAGTTTCCAAGGACACTCAAGCTTTGGAAGTCTCCAAACTTTGGCGGGCCTTTTCTCGCTGTTTTTATCTCTGTCAGGCGGCCCCTGCCTCCTTCATTCGCAAATATCTCGACCTCTATTCGAGATAGTTGGGTATTTTTTCACCAAATGCAGGGCAGATGAATATACTTTAAGATGATTTTGATAACTCTTTATGCCCAAAAGTTGACGAACTCCTGGTTCCACTGCGCTGTGACACATTTTATAAATTATTATGTAACTGAACTCTTGTTTACCTTTGCATTACCTTAGTAGCTCCCGTGAGCCACCAAACCACTGGTGCAGTTATATAAACATTTTTCAGGAGCAACATTGCTTTGTATTTTTTTTACTTTAGAGAATCATTGGTGTGGTTCAAATCTTAGAAGAAAGGGCGATAAAGATCTTCGTCTTTCTCTTGAACACTTTTTTTTTTTTTCAACCCTTGTTTTCGTTCTTCGCCCATAAAGATCACCCTTTTGTTCAGCTTCCTATGCACACTACAACCTTATAAAGACCAGGGCTGGCTGCTGACTCCAGCTTTGACACACTTGCCTCACTTGAAATGAAAGCAAAGATTTTATTATTATATCCTTTAGTTTTAATTCAGGCCTGCTTGCCATTAAGGAATTGGGGTTATGTAGATTATGTAGTTTTTATTCAATTGCACAGCTTTAGTCTTTTGAAATTTGAATAGTTTTGGCTTTACCCAAATTGAGGTTTAGTCACTTGGGGAGGGGGGGGGGGAGCACAAAGGAAGAAGTGAAGGAGGACATTGAGTTAAAACAAGCCTGGTTTTCTAGCAAGTCTCAAATCTATTGGTACACGACAGGTAGCTGCTCTGTTTGAACTGATTCATGGAAAGACATATATATATATATATATGTGCATATATGTAATGTCTAAATCATAAGAATGTGATTGAAAGGAAATTTTTCTTTTGGTTTGGTGGAGGGTTTACTTTGTCAAAATTATTTTGTTTTCTTCTTTCTATTTTGACGTGGAGGATAATTTAGGGGTGTGATATAGAAGTTTATCAACCTTTAAATGTTCCTATTATTTATTTTTATTTTTTTCAGAACCAGAAAAGAGATGTAGCAGAAACATTATGAACGGCGAAACTCCTAGTGTACCCATCACTACATTGGCTGGGGTGGCCAGTTTAACAGAGCGTAAGTACAAAGTTATTTACTTTCGGTTCTGTCATTTTAAAATCTTCAAGGGGAAGATCACGTGGAACCTGGAGAAGAGTCACAGAAATTGATTAACAGAAATGAGTGAAGACATGGAATAACATCAAGAGGCAAACTTAGGACAGGGAAAAGTGGAAAGTATGTTCGTGGCCTGTATCCTGATCCAGGGTGAGAAAGGCAATGATGATGGTAATTAAAAAATCTAATCAGTTTTCATTCAGTTGCTAGAATATATGGATTTGCGTAAGATCTCAATAATTTATTTATTACTCTCACACCGTGAACTTAATATGGACATTTTATTTTATGGCATAATGTGATTTCCATTTCATGTAAAATAATTTTGACTTTCTTCTTCCCCAGTGCTGTCACAGTTACCTTTGCCCACTCCATTGCCACAGACAGTCCAGAACAAAACATTACTGTACAGTCCAAATATCGCAGAAGATGCTAGGAGGTTACTGGCTTCATCAGATGATGTGCTTGGAGCACAACTCTCCCATGCATTGCGACAAACCACAACCAGTCAAATGTATGTATCACAATTTTGGTTGACCTTAACACTTGCTGTACCGTTGGCGAACGTAATTTCCGCTCAGTACCACTCGCAAACGTTAGTCGCCGACTCGACCTGGCACACTAAACAACAAACGGAACTTCTCCACGGAAGTAAATGTCAAGGGAAATAACTCTATGCGATAACTGAATCGTTAATGTGGCGATTCAAATTTTTTAAGTGCGTTTCTTAGCTGTGAAGGTTTTTTGTTTTTTTTAACATTTTTTGTTCTGCCATGGCTTCAGCGTTCTCAGATCTCTATTCTAGATCTAGAAATTCAGGTGGGCGTGCCTACCCTCTCCAAACAGAATAGGAGTTTTATCATGGTGTCTATATGTCGCAAAAGAGGTTTTTCTATAAAGTACATTTATTTTTGAATATATCTTGAAAATTTCATGTAATTCTGTCAATGACTTCTGTTTCAATGAATTTTTTTGTAATGTACCCTAATTATTTTGTTGGCTTCTGAATCGGTGCGGTACTCAAGGGTTTTTCACTTTATGACCCTGTGGTACTGTGAGTGTTAAAGCAACTACAAGTTATGTTTGCTTTTTTTTTTTTTTTTTTTATAATCTCACCAAGTACATGAATCTTCTAACAGCATGTTGCATGGAAATCTGTTCTTGGTTTTGAAAAAGCTGAAGAGTTTTATGCTGTATGTTTCATCTATTGAGGTAATTATAACTAGTATGCTTATTCTGTAATAAATTTGCCAAAGTGAGCCCAAGGGACAATTCATTTGAAATAGCCATGTTTGATAGTATATTATGATAAAAATATTATTATGTCTGTTCTTTGTTATGTTGACTATCTTTTGTTGTTTCACATATTTTAAATTACTTTAGAAGTGTTTTCGAATTGAAATTGCTATTGATCTAAAAATAAACGTAGTCTGTAAGATTATTAACATTATGTCTTGTCATTTCTCAGAGAACTGAAAGACAACCTCATTCCCAATGCAGTGGAAGGTGAAATCCCGAGTTTGCTTCAGGCTGTAATGCGTAAAGATCCTCAGATCTTTCAAGGGAATGCACGGATTGATGGTAAATTGTATATATTTTTTGCATTTTTATTGCATGCATATTTTTTCAAACAGGTTGTTTATATTACCTTATGTAGAATATTGCTGTGTCTTGGCTTTTTTTTTTCACTGATCCATATTTAGACAAAAAAAGTCATGTGTAATGTATGTTGGCAAAATACTGTTTCTTTGGGGTTTTTTTTTAAGGGTGTTGGGAAGGTGAAATGTCTTTTTGCGACGATATCTGGGCTCTCTAGTTTGAGGGTTATTTAATTTGTTGACCTTAGTATCTGTACAAGAGGGGAACTTGCATGGAAATTAAAAAAAAAAACTGCCCTCCATGAAACGACGTCTTTCTCTTATTTGGTCCAGGTCACCTCAGCCACAATCAGTTCAGCAATTTTGTTCCTCAAGGCCACAGAATCTCCCAGTCCCAACATCATGGCTCTCCTCGAGGATACAATCAGCCTGGTACATCGCCCAGGTAAGTTTTTTTGCAAGTTTTGTTCTGTTTTTATGTGTACATGAGAAAGTTGTTTGTCTTTTCAAAAATGGAGGGGACAGATGGTCCACTTTGTGGATGTTTGGTAGTGCCCACAACAGATAGAAACTTCAAAAACTTCAGTTTGAAAATCATATCGTATTGGAAATTGCACACGCCCTCGTTGGCAGCATCTTGACCCTTAGAGTGCTGATCGAGACCGACGGCCCGAACTTCCGTAAAGTGCTTATCGCGACCGGCGGTCGAGATAGACATTGGCATAGTATAACGCGATATACGAAAAGAACGAAGTACTAATTTTCATACTGCGGACTGGTGGGCTACGCAGAATTGATTTTGCCCGCCATTTTTGTTGTCACTGGGTTCGATCGAGGCGCTGTGAGTTTTTTTGTTTCATGTTGAAGTCGAATGACAGTGAAGTCGGAAAATTCGCATTAAATTCAGATGAAGATGTTTTGCGTATTTTTCCTTGAATCGGAAGAGGGTTTTGATGCTAGAGCTAACGCTTTGTGGAATATAACGTAGGCCTACGAAGCATCTTGACTCTGGTCTAGATCTAGAGATCTATGAACCGGCAGTTTTTATTCAGTCATTTCCAATCCCATTACTACAACAATAACTTCACAAAATACTTTTTGCTTCACATATTCACAAAGAACTTTCAATATTCTACAACTTTTATTCTTACCTTCATTAGAAATTTTGACAAATAAAAAAGTTATTAGCCAAAAAAGAAGCGTATGTGCAAATCTGGCGTTTTTCCAAAATAAATTCAGCACAGAGGGAAAATATAAGGGGAAAGAAGTCAGCGCTCTAAGGGTTGAGCTGATCATGATGGTCTATTTTTTATGTGTCATGAATGTGAAGGTCCGTTCTCCCCCCCCCCCTCTTTTTTTTAAAAGATACTTTGTTCAGTGTGAAAGGAATGACATATTTGTTTTTTTCTCCCCACCCACCCAATCAGGTATAACCAGAACCAGCCCCAAAGGTATCAAAACAATGCTTATGCATCCCCAAGCAGCAGTCCTTTTCAAGCATCTGGTGCTGGAATGGGCCACTCTTCAAACTCGGTGGTATCCCACAACCACCAACCTAATGCAGGTTTGTTCTTTTCTATTGATATGGTAGTAGGGTGACAGTTGAAAGCTTAGGCCTTGATGACCATCATGATTTTATTTTATGAATAGGGTTGTCTCTTATAAGCTCATGCTACGTTTCTGTTTCTTTTATTCTTATGTGAATACTTTATTTCTGTCACTTGGGGCTCTTTGGCATTGAGTAAGACTGTGAGGATAAGGAACTGATATTAGAAAGATGGCTAAAGAATTCTAGAGTAAGTGTTACTTGCACATTAAGGGCAAGGTTATAATGGCTCCCTGGATCATGACTAGATAAAAAAGTTTTGTGTCTGTCCGAGAATAAAACCATGAATGGCAATGAAAGGAAGGGCAGAGTTGATGGTGCGGGTTCGAAATGTAATCCAACAGTGATAACCATTCACTTTAAATAAATAATATGTTTGATTATTAGCCATAAACACCTCTTCTATAGCAACCTTTTGATAGATAAAGCTGCTTCCTGTTCACTAACCATGTAAATATTAAAGAGAGATGCTTCCTATTTATAAAAGTTACATGTCTCACGACATGGTGGAGTCAGGCGCTCATCAATTTTTGGGCATGTGGAGTTATTTGTATCGTCTGAAAGCTGATTTATTTGCCTTGCTTCCAATGACATAAATATCCATCTGTCTTGGATGTAACTGAAGATATTTGCGATTGAAGGAAGTGAGGTCGCCTGGTTTCAGTGCTGAAATAAGCGAGAAAATGGCCGCCAAAATTTAGTGAAGAATCCTTCAAAACAGAAATAGGACATTTTTGCCTTTAATCAATGTATTTCAATAAAATTTACATGAATGTTTTTTTGTATGGACATAAAAGAGGTTGAGCTAAAAAAATAAAAGTTCAATTAAAATTTCCAATCTGACGGGAAAAATGCCTGTTTCTCCGATTTCTGTATTTTGACGAGCACCTGATTTCACCACCTGTCTTATGTATACTGCTAAATTAGAGTGTAGGATGTCTTTATGGTGATGTTTAGGCTGATATTGTAACTAAGGATGTATTTCGTTTAACCTCCCAGTGTCAAGTCCAGCCCAAGCAACTGCAGCAGAGAGAGTTCTTCCTCTTCCATACGCACAGAATGCCTCCCCTGTCTCCACTCACAACTCCCCCGACCCCTTAGCCAGACACAACAGGCGGACGCGAAATCCACCTTCAGTGTCCGCAAACAACAGTGTCGACCAGCAGTTTCAACATGGCATGAAATCTCAGGAACCTGTTCACAACATATCAGACAAATTGCCAAACAGGACTTGTATTCAAGGAGCACCAGCACGTGCTGACCCTGTGATTGTGTTAGATGATATTGGTGATCAATTGAACACTAGCATCAGTAGACTGCCATTGCCTCCTCACCTTGCTGGTAGTTCTGTCAAATCTGCACATTCTCCCAGCGAGAAATCAAAGAGCGCAGACACCAAAAAGAAAAACGAACCTGTTGTTATGTTGGAAATGTTGGATCCTTCAGTAAGTTCCTGTTTCATTTGTATGCATGTGGGGGGTTTTTTTCTCCCGTTCCCTCCCCTCTCTCTCTCTATATATATATATATGTATATTTTTTTTGGTGGACAGGGAGATGAATAGTGGGCTTTGAGGATTTTAGTTGGGAATCCGTGATTTGAACAATTTCCTACTTCTACTTTTGAGAAAACAGGAGATTTATATTCCTAAAAGTGTTTGTATACAGATATGTGGTCCACATTTGCAGATGGGTGATAAATTTGGTGAGTGAGTTTGTTCTATAGTTCCTTTTCTTTGCGTTTGCGTGTTGAATGTTGAGCTGTTGATTTTTTTGCTGTTGGGAGGAATGAAACATAATACTTATTATCCCAAAGTTCAGTCTGTCTGACTTTATTCAATCTTATGTTTTGCAAGTGTCTATCATATGATATAAATGGGTTGTTGATGGATGCTTTAGTGCGATTTGCTCCTTTCGTTTCAAGCAACTATCATCCTCTTTTCTTTCCTTAATTTTTTGTGTTTGTTACTTGTAACACCTCATCTTGGGTTCTTATATGATCTTATTGTGTTATATTAGTCATGGTATTAGCGCTTGACCATATAATACAGCCAGAGTGCTATTTGATAGCTTGTGTAAAATTTAGTCGAAAATCAAGCGGTTTCTCTTAAAATCGTCATTGGTTGAGTCAGAGAAAGTTATAAAGAAGGATTTTAAAAAAGAATTTTTAACCTTAACACTTTGTCGCCTCATCTCGCTGATTGGCGATGTTTACCTCCAAGTTTCTTTTGGATTTTCCCCAAAATATGATGGTTAAGTGCTAAGATGATGGATGATGATTTGCATTACTAATGTAGCATGTTTACAAGGTCTTCTATTGGGGTAAAAGACTCCTGTTTGAGCTTGTGAACATTTTGCCTGTTCTTACTTCCTATTGTTATGTGTGATAATGAAAATTTAATCCTACTCCCTGTTCTGTTGTTTTTTTCTCCCCCCAGATGCTGAAGACCATCAGCAAAGGAGGTTCAGGTAACTTTTTTTTGCTTTGTCAACATTTCATTTTTGGGGAACAGGGCTTTTATTGTGAATAGGGTCTGCCCCAGCTACATGTATCAGTGCTTCCAGTCTTCTGCAGTTTTGCGGGTTTCCGCAAATTAGTACAATTTCGCAAATGGAAAAATTTTCGTGAAAATTCGTGCAAAAAATGTTTTTAAAAAAAAATTATTTTCAAAAATGCGAAATAAAAAATTTCTGTAATTACTTATAATGGTCAGCAAAAGCCTACCCATACCGGAAGTGCTCTTTTATTTGAAAGTGTAGACAGTGTCTTGTACTTCCACTTTCTAAAGCACAAAGCAGAGCACTAGCACAGTAAACAAGAGGAAGACATGACGATTGTGGTTCAATAGATTTTGGGCCTGCCAAGAAAAGAAAACTCTGAAGAGAGCTTGATTTTTTCTTCAGACTTGTTTATTTGTACTTATTGTTGTGGATTTAAGTTGAATATAAGCTGTCAAGCTATTTAGATCTAGATTCTAGCTGTTATACTATTACCAGCACATGCAGAAAAAAAGTTGAGCATTAACTGTCAAGTTTTATAGATCTAGCTGTTATACTGCTGTTGTCGATGTACAGTATCGGTACAAGGGAGAAAGCATGACTGGATTTATATGGATTAACACAAGCAGAAAGTTATGTATGCAAGGTATGTTTTTTTCTCACTTATTTTCTTGTTAAATTTAGGCTTGAATAGCCAGAAATGGCATACTTAGGATGCCTTGAATTTTAAAAATCTCAAACGTCCCTTTCAACCCCCTGCCAGGGCTCCGCCCTGGACCCAAAAATCCTCGATAAATAACGTCAGCTGCTGGAAGCTCTGATGTAAACTTATATGTTAATGTAATGGCAAGAACGAACATAAATGTTGAGTTTGGAATATCGAAAATACCTTCATTGTTACCAGTAGATCTATTGTTTTTGTTTACTTCTCAAAATAATTTTAGTGCAGTTGTTTGGAGGTTCTGAGTTGATGATTGTTTTATTTATTTGTATTTTTATCATTTTGTAGTGAAAACTGACTGTGATAATGACTCTCGAAAGCGGAAAAGAGAAGAAACAAGCTACAATATATCAAGGGCAGCAGGTCAGGGTGACATTTCTTTTCAAGCTTTCCGTAGCCGAAAGTCTGATGACACTTACAAAAATAGGGCAGGTGAGTCCACTGTTTATTCTTTCATGTTTTGGTAGGTCTGTCTTGTTTAGAGGGGTTTGCATTGTATAAAATTAGCAGTTTATTAAAATGTTCAAATTTTTATTTCTTGAGTGTGCAGCATGCTTCAGTACATGATTTTGAAAAAAATTCTTTCAGATTTTTGTAAAGAGAAATTACTGCACTTTGTTACAAATGGAATGCAAAATAGAGTGTACAGCTGTGAAGAAAGACATTTTGTCTAAAGTGCATTAATAAAGAACATAATAGTTTGTTGCTAGATATGGGGGGGGGTCAAGCTGTAAGAATAAGGGTTGAAGCCAAACAAAATCTCAAAATGTTTATTTTATGTGTGTTTGTGCTTTTACTAGCATTGATTTGTCTGTTTTTTAGCTGTTATGTATCCTTGAATGTCTGCTGCTGGAATATTTTGAAATGTGTTTGGCAGTCATCCTGTTACAGGTATGAGATCTGGCCCCAGCATTTTGTTTTGGTCTTCCAGCATAACATTTTTTTATGATTTTTTCTTTTTTTTGGTAAACTTTCAGCAAAGAGGAGGCGTCATTCTGTTGAGAGTGATGATGCATCATCTTTGTCAGAGTTTGTGGAGGTCGAGGAAGATGAAGAGGCTTACAGTAAGTTTTTAAAAAAAATACTATTAAGTTTTAAAAAGATAATTTAAGATTAAGAGGGGTCCTTTCCTTGAAAAGGCTTTAAAAATGTTAGTTCACGAAAGTTTCTTCAGCATAGATTTTTGGAAAATATTGTGGAAGAATAGCAGGTTTGTGTATTTAGTGGCTTCTGTATTTATATTTTAGCAATCTTGGATAAATCGTAGTTATTTGTCTTTTAAAAAATATTGCTGTTAATCTTCTATTTTGTCTCACAGAAGCAAGAATGAAAAAGAAAGAAAAGCAGAACAAGAAGCGTCTGTTGCAGCCAGTGGTCAGCTTGGAGGATTTACTTGACAGTCCGATTTTCAAGAAATTCAATAGCTGTGTGGATCATATCTTTGACAGTGCAGAGGATGCAAATTTTGCAAGCATTGACAAAGGTGACTTGGGGATATTGTCAATTCTTGATATTCATGTTTAGCAGTGTCTGTTGTGTCCTTATTGGGACAATTTGGAGGACTGTACAGCAGTGGTTCTAATAAATATTTAGATTGTTTTATTTTAATGAGAAAGAGACGGACACTGAATGTGGTGGTTAGAATGTTAATAAAAGGTTTTTTTCTTTAGAACTAAGAAAATGGGTTTTTTGGGGGGGTCTTTTTGTGATCAAAATAGACATCTATTTGACAATTTTCCAGTTTGCATGCATATACCAGTTAATGCTTCCGTGTGTATGTGACAAGTGAAATAACCATTTGGTGTGTCCATTCTATTTGTGGTAGACAATGAGGATGTCGAATGCCCTCCCGAGTCTCTCATAGCAAGACGGATCCTTACAGACCTGTGCGGAGAAGCAGCAAAACTAAAGGCCATGAATGCTCTCAGTCAGGTATTTCCAAGTTTGTGAAATTGCCATAAGTTTTGTGTGTGGAGAATGACTTGGACCACCTAAAGTCATTTGTGTTTTGATAAGAATTGTTGGTTGCAAATTACCTGGAGTATAGGACAAATGAACAAATAAGGGAAGATAAAGCAACATTTGTTCTGTCACCATGAGTTGTTGTTTTTTTTTCATTCAGAATGTATGGGGTTAAAGTATTCAGAAAGAACCTTGTGTTTGCTGGAAAATATTGCAGGTGTTTTTAAAAAATCACATCTCCTTTTCGTGCATTGATATAGGTATGTTCTAAGTCTTAGCCTTTATTTTTTATTTTTTATTTTGTAGATTCCTCCAGATCGTTTGGTGAAGTTGTTGACAATCTTGCTGTGGAACGTCCGAGATGGCTGTAAAGTTACACCAAACATAAATCAGGTTAGTGTACTTATACTTTCTGTTCTTCTTTGATGAATCACGATTGTAAAGAAGATAAGTGTTTTGAGATACTTTGTGCTGGTGGTACAAATTGCTCTAAGAACTTTTTGGTTAGATTCTAGTTTGCAAGTTATGAACAATTAAAAATTATTTTTTTCTGTTTGTTCAGTCACTGGCATGTTTTTATTATTATTCTTGTCATGGTATAGCACATGCAGTACCCCAGAGTAAATGTGGTTGTTTTTTTTTGTTTTGCTGTGTGTGTGTGATTTTTTTTGTTTTTAAGAAAAATATAATTTGCCACTTGACTGCTAATGGTACATTAAATGGCATGGTGGAAAAAGTTGCTTTTGATGTTCAAGTACAGTACATATGATTCTAAACTGTTGGTAAGGTGACTGAATAGGGCAATTTTTTTTCTCTGTAAATTAGATTATGCCTCTCTGAGATTTTGCCACTTTATGTTAGACAGCATTGTTATTGCTAATGGGATCTGGGGTTTTAAAAATCCTTACAGCTGGTGGCAACCCGGTCTTGTTCTTTTAAATCTATGCAGGAAGAGGATGAAGAGGAGTCAAAATTGTGGAGAGAACTGACCATGGATCGTGTTATGAGGAGCATGGATGCGTCTCTCACTGGAATGGCTGTCATGACAGGGCGCAATATGCCGAAGCAAGTGTACCTGGAAGATGTCATAGAGAGGGTCATTCACTTTGCAAAGTTTCAACTACACAATACCATATACCCTGAGTTTGACCCTGTCTACAAAATTGACCCAAAGGCTAAAGGTGAGACTTTATAGAATTCTTCCTTTTGAGCATTCAGCATTATTAATGATACACGAATGCAGGGCTTGAAATAGACCGCGGCACTTTGCCTTGGTGCCTTTGCAATTTGCCGTAATGCCCTTAAAATTAAATTGCCGTTTGTTTGTTTGTTTGTTTTTTTTGTTTTTTTAAATGTACCGCCATGAAAATAAATTGATATTTGTCCTGTGCTGTCACTTTTGGAAGAAAAAAAAAAAAAAAGTTATACAAGCATCTTGTCGGGTTAGCCGCAGTGGCAGGTCGGTGAGCCTCAGTCACAAGGTACCGCATTGTGTGAGCACCGGTGGGTCATCATTCAAAGTCTGAAGGCCGCGAAGTATGGGACTCCGGAATTGGGGGAGGGGGGCCATTATTGATTATTTTTAATTTTTAAGATACACTCGTGGAAGAGAGAGGGGGGGGTCATGAAGACATCCTGTTAGACTTGTTTGAAATCTTTTCAAAGCTTCAGTCAGACACTGCTCAGCTTGACCATTGTGTCTGTTTTGTCATGGCAAGTGCAAACACCTCACATTACAAACCTCAGCAGTGTCTGAAAAAAGATTTGGATGAAAAAGAAGACTGCAGATGTGAGAGAAAGTGCAAGTGTGATGATTACAAACATGAATGATGTGTTGGATAAGCTGGTGCTGTGCTTGGAAGAAAGATTTTCTGGCACATCAGAAGATAAAGTTTTGAAAAGTGCAGGGATATTTGACAGGACAAATGTGCCTGAAACTGACAAAATGGATGAGTTGAAAGAATATGGTGAGACACAGATGGATGACTTGATAGCTCATTATGAGACTGTGCTTCAACACCAAGGATGCTCAACACTGAAAATAAAGAATGAGTGGCTCATGTTTCTCTCCGAAAGTCAGGGCTTATTACCTCTGAGTGAGAACAAGACAAGTTCAGTCTTGAAAAAAGCAAGGAAATTTCCCAATCTGTCTCATTTAGCTCATATAATCCCTGTTTTCTTTGAAGAGACGCATCCTTGGTGACTGAAGGCATTTGCTTTCCAGAGATATGCTTGAAAAGATCATGCTTATATGTCCCAATGGTCTTGAGACAAAAGAATTCAACCCAGAACCCTGCATTGCCAAGTGGCAAGAGATGTGTCTCACAATTAGACGTCCTGATAATACAGCACTATTCCCTGAAATCATCTTCTCTTGTGATACTTTTAAAAATCACTTGTGTTTTCCCATAAGGGACAAACAGTAAGCCAGTCTTTTTCTATCTTGTGTGTGCCAACGTATTTTCAATATTCTGATCATCTAGTGATTAACTTAGTTTTCATTCATGATTTTACAAATTTTCCGATAACTCTATACTTTTGTTGAGAGCAAGAATAAATTGCATTGTTATTTATATAAACGTTGTGATGCACGATCCAGTATTACCAACTTTAATCAACAAAATGATCACCTATAATTTTTGTCTTGGTGCCCCTAGAAAATTGCCTCAGTGCCCTCTGATTTTTAGGCCCCACTGAGGCAATTTTTGCCTGCCCTCCTGAACACCTAATTCAAGCCCTGCGAATGGCTTTATTTTAGGTTTACTTTTTTGGAACACTATCCAAACTTATCAAGTTCTGAAAGAAGATATTGAAGTCGCTCTTGTTTTTGTTTGCTTTGTGTTTAAGGTTTTCTTCAGACATATCAAGTATATCTTTTGTTTCCATTGTAGTCCCCAATTTTTTTCACCAGTGGACACATTTTAAAAAATTCTGAATTCATTAGGAATTTTCCTACCTTATATATTTCTGGGAAAGATGTGGAAAAATATTCTGAAATTTTATGTTCAATAAATTGTGTTGAACCTTTCTTCAGACGGCTACCATGGAAGTTTGAAAGCCAAGAGGGCACGTGCTGGATCTGTCAAGCACAAATCAACCATCACCCTTTACAACAAAATGTGTGAGCTTGTCAGTGCTCTTGCAAACTTACTGGAAATTCAAGAGTTGACAGATACCATTATACTGCAGGTAAGAGCATATTTGCATATTTTCAGTTGCTTCTTGAGCATTTGCACTAAAGTTTTTTTTATATCAATTGAGTGAATTAAAAAAACAAACGATTATATTTAAGTTTACCTTTTTATCATTTTGGAGTGTCATAACTTCAAAGCAACGGCAGAAATATATTGACAGGAATTTGTCTTATGAGATGTATAATGTGTAATTCACTTGTCAAACATGGGGTAAAGAAAACAGATATAGTAGAGCAGATAGAGGATGTTTGAAACTGTATGTTGGACTTTTGCTTTTTGCATGAAGTACATGCAAACTTGTCTCAGTGTTTCCTGGAATGTTTTTTGTGATACTGTAATTTTCAAATTATTGACACATTGATTCCTCCCCCCATCACAGGTCTCCTCTCTTGGTGTGTCGGCTTTCTTTGTTGAGAATATAAGCGAACTTCAGCTTACAACAATGAAGCTGGTTACAACAGTAAGTATCCCAGGCCTTTCTTCTTCTTTAATAAAAATTGAGATATAGAGGCTTTTTAGTGGTTCTGGTGCTTTGATTTTATCCTCTACCATATATACAGTTAATCTAATGACCACCTGTTCAAGATATTCACTCGTACAAACGAACATTTCCCATTTCCCCGCTTGTCTTTTTTTTTCTAAATCGCAATGACAGTGTCTAAGCGGGCCACCTAAGTTGATCTCTTTTTGACTTGACAATGGGTGGTCATACATATACTGGACAGGTTTGATCCTTTTTCTAGTTTATTGTATTGTTAATTTGATCATTGTTGTCATTTGCTAGCATCTCCTGTAAAATGTACTTTCCTTTTAAAAGGTTCCACCGTGTACCGCACAACTGACTTGGAGTTTGTTTGTACTCATGTAAACATTTGTTTTTGCTTTTAGGTATTTTCCCGGTATTCAAAACACAGGCAGCTGATTTTGGAAGACATCTTTGCTAGTTTAGCCAGGCTTCCTTCCAGTAAGAGAAATTTGAGGAACTACAGGTAAGAATTTTACTTTTCTCTGACAAAACAAAGTGCAGTCGAACCTGTGTAAGACGGAATCGTAAGGGAGCCAGAAAAAAATTCCAGACATTTTCCGTCTTAAGCCCTGGTTACACGCAGCGATAAATAGTATCAGATTCGTCGTATGGGAGAACTCTGTTTTATCGAACTGTGTTGTCTGTTTACACGTTCCAATATATCGTCAATGAGTTTACATAACAAGAGGGGCCACTTCTCTCTTTGAGCCAATTAAAAAAGTGTCCTCAAAATTCGGTGGCGCCCTCTTCGCAAAAGCGCACCTTTTGCGAACAGAGTTATCCTACTTGAGTTTTAAAAAATCAAAGTGAAACTAGCAAGTTTTCGAATGAATTTCGGAAGAACGCTTTTTTAAAATGGTTACGCTGACAAAAAACCTCTTCCGGAGGAAAGGGTGATTGTTTTCTTCGTTTAATTTGACTTAAGAATGAAAGGCGAGAGGTCATTAAAATATAAATAACCTAAAACTCCGCACTGAACGAACCCGAACTACTGACTATTCTTCTTCTGGAAAAACGAAAGAGAGCTTCAAAACAGACTGCAGCGCCATCTGAAGCAAAGAGCATACTTCCTGCGGACACTTTTTTGGCTGAGTAGCCCATCTTGTTATTTACTATCTTTGATATCGTCCAGTTTTCTGTCGATTGAGTGGACTCCTCATCAAAAAGCCACCATGTCTCTTTGCGACGACAGCTATTTGACTGCTCTCTATGTGAAGGTTTTGAGCTCTGGACCTAATGAATGAAAGGCGAACACTACCTCTAGATCACAGAAACCTGCCTTTCCCCCCTCCCCTGTACATTTTCATATAGCAGAACAGTGTCTTTAGAGAAGGGTGGCCATACTGTAGGCCTACAGTGTTGTGTGCAGAACCGGAAGCTATGACATGACTGCAGATGTGCAACGCACCGAGTGACCTTGATGCACAGCTTCACCATTGACGATCTACTAAATAATAAAATTGCTAAAATATAAATAATAACGCACCAAATCAGGTTCTACGCGAGCAACTCTGCTTACTTTGAGACGCTGATTCCGAATATGAAATCAGTTTTTACCTACGATAATTATTTTTTAAAAATTGAGCCCTGAGTTTAATTCTGCACTGCGGCAGATTTCAAAGTGAATCTACGTCACAGTGCGTATTTCTCGACCGAGTCTCCAAACCATCGTTCAATCGTCCAAATTTTGTACAATTTTGTGGTTACACCTGACGATTTATCATTTGATCGCTGGATCCACCTTGGACAGGTTTCCGTTTTATACAGGTAGTTATAGAGGAACATATCAAGGGGGGAGCGGGGAGATTCCGTTACGGCATGTTTCGGTTAAGGCATGCTCGACTGTACTTCAGTGTATTTTTCTTTCAAAAACTAGATTATATATCCATTACCTTCTTTCTTGAGTGAGACTTGGGAGGTTTTATCTGGGCCTGTTTGTCACTAAACATTGACACATGCACTTGGACTTAGTGCTACATGTACCTCTTATTTTCTGTTTCATAAAAGATACCACAAGATACGGTTCTGTTTTGTGGTTATGGTTGATTAAGTCACATGGTGGTTTTGTTTTCATTTCAGATTGAATTCAGATGAATCAATACAGATGGTTACAGCTCTGGCTCTGCAGCTCATTCAGTGTGTGGTGAAGTTACCAGACCCTGACGCAGAAGACAGTCCAGACAAGGAGGATAAAAACAAAAAGAGCAAAGGATCAAACACTGAAGAGGTAACCTTTCAGATTCTCATGAATCCAGTAAAGATGAGGGTATGGTATTCTACAACATATAAATGATTAGTTATGATTGCATTCATCCAGTAGCACTCCCTTCAGGTGTGTTGAAAACGTTTGCTTTTAAGACTGCTTTAAAACATGTCAGACTTTCTTTGTTTTATCATTTGTTTCCAAACATTTGCTATTCAGAAGTAAGCCTGATTTTGTTCTTTTTTTTCATACATTTGAACTGGTCATTCTTTGCTTTGCAATAGGAGTGCTATTTATTAGAAAGTATAATTAACAGCTATGGTCCATATTGATGTACCAGCAAACCATGGGATGACCGGTTTCTAAAGTATTGGAGGGTCTTCTCTGTTATTATATTGGGTTGGGGTTTTTTTAAGGTTCGTTCTTAGTTATGTGTGTAATAAAGAAATGGTGCTGTTAAATGCTATGATTTGTCATGAAAGATATTTTCATTCGAAAAACATTTCAGAATGTTGCGCTTGGCGGTGACAATGATGTTGTCATTGTGACGTCATATGAAACTGCGATGAGAACGGGTTACAACTTCTTGTCTGTGTTTTTGAAGAAGTAAGTATTGTACTGTTTTTCTCATGATTCTTTTTGTGCTGGTGTTTCTACAGTTGTCCACTGTGGGTTAACTCATTTATTATTATTTTACTGAGTAGTAGAGGAGAGTAGATAAACTTTTCAGAACAATAAATTTAAAGGCAAATTATTATGGCCATATGGCCACGGTTTAGTCGTAATATCTTAACATTTGACGTTTATTTTTGTGTACTGTTCTGTTCGACAATTCAGTGATTTCATATCTTGTTTTACATGTATGTGATAAAGTGGTGTTAGGTTGTTTGTTTGTTGTTGTTTTTTTTTGGGGGGGGGGGGGTTTGGTTGCTTTTTTAGTCTGGTCTCTCACTGAAAGTGTGCTAATAGTTGGCAGATGCTCTAGTGTGGGCTTCTTTCCTATCAAAATTTTTTCATACTGATCTCTCCTTTTTTTTTTTGGTCTTTTACTCTCTATTGTAAGACCTAATCTTCGTTACTTACATGGCCTTAATGTATTGCAAGTGCCGTATAACTTACTATAACTAAAACTAACTGGAAGTGTATGCTGTTTCAGGTGCACAACAAAAGGAGAGGAAGACTACAGGCCGCTGTTTGAAAACTTTGTTCAAGATTTGCTCACCACTGTCAACAAACCAGAGTGGCCAGCATCTGAGCTGCTTCTTAGTTTACTGGGAAGAATATTGGTAAATATGTCTTGCTTTTCTTATCCTGTTCTTTGTTTCCTGTGAAAAGGGGTATTATATACCCACAGGTAATATTTAGGTAGATGACTTGCTGTGGTATTGATAAAACATGTTTGCCTGAAGACGCCTTTAATTGGTACCATGCTCTTTTAAAGTTTTCACATTGTTAATGGACTTTTTTTTTGCTGGAAAGCCATTCTTCGTAAATGATTGATGCAAACGTTAGAGTGCATACTTTCACGTCCTTTCATATGCACTTTTGATGTTGGGATTAAATGTCTCTATATTCTCATGTTGTTGAAAATTATTGTTGATATGGGAGCAAACTTTACGACTATTGTGAATAAATAGTATAAGTGTGACAGCCCCTGTATTGTGTTTCCTTTTTCATGCATTTCCTAAAGCCACCTGAGGTGATTTATTGAGGTTTTTTATTTCCTTTTCTTTTCCATAGGTTCAACAGTTCAGCAGCAAGTCCACCGACATGTCACTTCGTGTGGCTTCTTTAGAATACTTGGGCATTGTCGCTGCCAGATTGCGCAAAGATGCTGTAACCAGTCAGCTCAACCAAGAAGTTATCAATGACATAGTTCAAAAGGTGAGTAATAATAGTTTAGTTGACTGTATAGAGCAATATTTGTGTCATGATTTTGTTATGGGTATTGTCTATGGAAATTTTTTATGTGAGTTAAGATTTGTGTTTCTTTAAGGCGGATTTCACGGTGAGGACCTTCAGGTTTCCCACTTTCCCATTTTTTTCTTCTAGATTTTGATCTTTTCCAAAAGGTTATGTATTTTATATAATTAGAAAGGTCTTTTAAAGAGGAATTAAAAAATGTTACAGAGACAGCAAAGACTTATTTAATAAAATGTAACCATACCTTGGTGCAAACAACACAATCCCTGACTATCACAAAATTTGGTTTGATAATCCATTTTATCGAAATCACTGGCCACAAAAATCATTATGTACTCAATAAATGAAAATAATAGAAATAAAAGTAAACAATAGAAAGAAAAACAAATCAGTTGAAAAAATGTCTCCTAACGTCTGAACAGCCTATAAGACCACGAAATCATCGTCAGCACAGATCTGAATGACTTTTAACATTCATCTGCATACAAGACAATCACAAAAGAATGTGCTCTTTTTGTTCCTTATGTCGTTTGTTTACTTCCTACATGTGTTACACTTTGTGTAGCAGTCCTTCAATCAATAAAAACATAATAGAAATGACAAATGAACATTAATAAAAACATAATAGAAATGACAAATAAACGCTTGTACTTGGATTGGATTTGAAGTTGGTGTGCTTGGGACGTAAGAGACTTCCGACAGAACAACTTAATAAACACCACAAAACATCCACTTCATAAAAAAAGACGCTAAAGAATGACGGAATGGCCCGAAACAGAAGTAGTTTTTAGCCTCGGCTTTGCGGAAAGTCCTCGGGGTCCGAGTTCGACTGCAAGATGTCGGAGGCACACAGGGACGGGTGGGTCAGAAACGGCTCTTTCTACTAAAAAATTTTTTCAATTTTCGTAAATTACGGCTAAGACCGGTGTAGAAATGAGAATCACGTAGTCTGAGTTTAAAAACTTATTAATTTTGCTTTTGGAAGTAAATTTGACACTTCAGGTTGGGTCAAACTGTCAGACTTGCACGCGCAATTTTCGACCACCATTTTGCTCTGTCCATTGTCGTTTCAAACGGATGCGAGATTATTTTTTTTTTCTTATCACATGAGAAAAACATTCCTTGCATGTTCTAGCAATTTTAAAAAAGAAAATTAGCATAATATGCCTCTTAAAAATGAAAATTGTCAAGACTCACGAACATCAGGAAATGCCGCAAGTCTAAATCTTCACGTCAGTGACACAGTTACGCAAAAAAAAATCAAACAAAATAAAAAAAAGTCAAAACTTGCTTTTTATTCTTGTGTTTATTGAGCTCAGAAACAAACAAAACAGCACAAATTGAACCCCAAACAGTACAACAGGAGAATTTTATTTTAAAAATTGGTCCCATGTTGTCTCTCACACCCTTACCGTGAAATCTGCCATAAAAAGCTCCGGAACTTGGTCATCTGAATGAATTTCGATAACGCCTGCGCCAATGTTAGCTGAATATTTCAAATTTTTTACAGGTTAGTGAAAATGAGGAGGAAGAAAGTGCATCTACCAGGAGCAAAAAGACTGAGGTAAGAAAATATCATTGGAGTGAAGTGTCTCTTTCCTTAGATAATGCATGACCTTGGTTTCAACTTACAAGTATCGGAGATTATTATAATATTCTCTGTATTATATCTTATCTCTCTAAATTGCAGAGAGCATTGAAATATGAATAATGTAACATTTCTGTCGCAATGCTATGGGTTTTTTAATTAAAAAGGTAAAAACATAAAAATGTGATACATCTCATTTCTATTGTACTATTATCACTCTGTGCTGTTATACTGTGCTTCAACGCATGCTTAAATTAAAAACCTTCTTTTTGCATAAAAATTTGTCTGACTTTGATATGAGGATAACAAAATTTGACTGAAGATGTCTCGAAAACGCACATTCACGACAACGAAGTACTTTTTGAAGTGGTGTTGGGTTGTGAGGGGGAATGAGACTAATTTAATGAATGTGACTCTGAATCAAGTGCCGTAAATTCCGTTGTGGATGATAACAAACAGAACTCATCTAATAGCGATTCAGATCATGGTGAAGGGGTCAGTACTGGAATTTGTGCTGTATCGATGGGAAGGGCTAGATCTATAAATCCAATGAGACGTGTGCGCAGCAATCAGGGTCAAGTTGGAGGGTGGAAGACACCTCAAAATCTACATTCTGCAATTGGTGTAAATCCAAACCACATACATTTACAAAAACTACATTCAATTTCTAACATAACTGCCAAATTTCCTTAAGACCTAAGAGTAAACGTAAGAAATAGAGCACTTTGAAATATACATCCTGTATTCCAGCTCGTATGACGCGGCAGCCCCAGGAAGGGGACAGAGTCTGCGGGGGTACAGCCAGGATAAAAAGAACTAAGATCTATTCTGGGGATCTATGCGAGGGTATTGGGGAAATATTGGTAACTTGTGGAAATATTCAAATTTTTTGTAACATATACCCCAAAGTTTCGTCAACTGACTCTCGGGATCCACTGACTTTGGGCTCACTTTTTTATTTTAAAGCTAGGTCAAAATCCTCACATAGATCCACAGTCCATATAGGTTTGGTCTTGTGTGCCAAATTTCAGGCTGTAGTTTCAATATTTTCTATGAAATTCTTCCGCACTAAGAAACGGGTTTGATAATCCAAGATGGCCGCCACAGAGACCCATTTTTTAGGAGAAATCAACAAATTCACCCTTAGTAAATCCTCTTTACCTATGAACTTCTTGCATAATTATATAAAAGGGAATAAAAGTCCTTCGTTTAGAAATTTTTTTCGGGAGTGTACGTCTCCCCTTAAAACAGGTTTCCATTTTACACAGGTTTCCGTTAAGGTAGGTTCGACTGTATACCACAAGCGAGTGGTTACACATACTAAATTGAAACTTTTTTCTCTCACAGAAAAGTTCTCCAGATGTTACCGAGAGACTGCAGCAAGCAATGCTGGAATATCTCGCCTACAACGCTCAAAGTGAATCAGCATTATTTGTAAGTGTTGTGATTTAATTTGCTTTAATCACCATTGCTCTTTCATTTGGCGTCGGTGGCCTAGTGGTTAGGCTACCGGACTCGTAACCCTGAGGTTGCGGGTTTGGGGTTCGAGCCGCAGGCCCCACGTTGTGTCCTTGGGAAAGACACTTCACACGAATTTTCCCCAGTTCACCCAGGTGGGAATGGTTACCCAGCTATAGACAGTGAAAGATCTTGTCAGTTTTTTGGGGTTTTTTTTAGCGCTTAACCAGCTGCTTGCACTGCTTGCTTCTCGGGAAGCTGAGAATGTATCTGAGTGTACTATGGTTTGCTGGAGTAAATATATAGTGTAAAGCGCAAAGAGCTTGCATTCAAGTTGGAACAAGTGCTATACAAATGCTATTTATTATTATTATTATTATTAAGTAATGCTGTCACTTGGTTCCTTTGCCTATCTGTGCTGGTCACCTTTTTCTAATAACAGAGGCGAAGCATTTATGGCCTGCGGGTTAAATGTAGCCATTCACAGAAAACTTTCATGCAGTCTGAGAAAAAAACATCCTAAGAGATTAATAAATTAGCATTAGAGTGATAACAATTGTCATGAACCAAGTCTTTGTCTTTTGTACTTATTTTCGCAACACAACGTCTTGTTGACCGATCAAGATAAAGAAAAGCGGAACTGAAATTAAAGAATAGGAAAAAGGTGCAGTCTTGGTCATATAGGCTGTTTTGAATAAACCATCCTCCCATTACCGAGTGAATGCCAGTGGTGGGGCAGGGAATTGCATATGTCTTGTGTAGATTATAGAACATTGAAATACAAATTGTGAATGTTTATTTCAGTTTGCTCGTCAATTCTACATCGCACAATGGTTCCGGGATACTACTGTAGAAGCAGAGAAAACGCTGAAAGCTCAACACAACAACTCTGGTGATGATCAGGATGAAGATTTCAATGAGAAGAAAGAAGAGACTTCAACTGAGCTAATGCAGAATGCTGAGAAAAGAAAGGCTTTTCTGTGCTCTCAGATTTCCTGTTCCAAAAGATCAAACATGAAGTATGTTTACAATGTGCTATCCATGTGCTTTTTTTTTCACAGTGAAACTATTGCATTCTTTACTTGTTTGGAAAAAAAAAAATCTCTTACAGCATGATTAATGAAGGGTCTGCTTAGTTTCAGCCATAATGAAATTTTTCTTGCCTGTTTCTTTTTGTCCCAAATTTAGGATAGTGGATTATAATTTCAGAATGTCTTCCAGTCATTATACTGTGTTGAAATTCATCTAAATAGGCTTAATGAGGTATAATATGGTTTTCCAAAACTGTTAACCAGTTCCATTTTATTGACGTAAATATATTGAAAAAAGATTGTCAATTTAACAGTTTCTTGTCTTTTTTTTACAGAATGCTCTTTACAAATGTTAACTCCCGGATATTTTTTCTCTTCAACAGGCATGCAGGGGCGATGCTTGACTATGATAGTGCTTGCCTTGTTGCCAGGTACCTGTCGTCAAAACGCCCATTTGCTCAAAGCTTTGATATCTACTTGACTCAGGTTGGTAGACCTTTACATAAAACTTTCATATTAATGAGGGTAGTTTGAACAGGGTGTTCAGGATATAGTTTCGCACTCAAGCAGAAAGTTTGTTTTTGATATTTGTGAACTGGTTAAGCCAGGTTTTTTCAAGGTTAGTGGTTCTGGGGTTTTTTTCAGGGTGTATTTTGTTTGTGGATTCCAACATGTCTTGGGCATTTTTTAAAAGCAACACATTAGATATTAGAACCCATGGTATCACTGTTACCATGAAATTTTTTGGGTCTTTTTTAACATGTTTGAACAAAATATATTGTATTCGTATATCTTTGAAACAACAAACACCCTGGTCAAGAACTAAAATTATTTAATATTAATCATATTATGTTCAGACCAAGTCATTGAACTGTTTTCTTGGGCATAGACTAGGTTCACAGGTCCAAACTAGTTAGAATTGTTTAATTGTAGTTTGTTAAGACATTATTTAAATGATAAAAGTGGATGGTTGGCAGATGCTCTGATGTGGTTTGCTCCTTTTTTCCTATAAAGCATGTTGTCCTGATCTCTCCTCCTTTTTTTGTGTTTGTTATTCTCTATTACCGACTCTAGTCTTAGGCACTATATAACCTGATTGTGTTGCAAGTGCAGTGAAACCCATTTTTTTGTGTCGCTTTGTGTTCCTGATTTTAATTATAGCTTATTGTTTCCTACAGATTCTGAAAGTTTTGAGCGAAACAGCTGTTGCGGTGAGAACTAAAGCCATGAAATGCCTTACAGCGGTGGTGGAAGCAGATCCTGGAATACTGGCTCGTGTAAGTCTTTTTACCATGCCATTTTGAGTTGATACCAATCTTAAGTGTTCATCTGAACCGTGCTGAATAGTCGATAAAAGTGTTTGCCATAGACTGAGTCTTCCAATTTAAAATTCCATTTTCACCCTCTTGCAAAAATTCACTCTGTTAAAGAGATATTATGGTGTTTCAAATTTAAGAGCTTGTTTTCATCCTCACCAACATGCATTTTGTGATAAATGGCTTATTCTGTTTTGAAATTAAACTCATTTTCACTGCTTGCTGACACACATACTTCAGCAAAAATCTCGTTGTAGTCATTTGTGCAACATTGATTCCCTCTTACTTTTGAGGATGATCAATTATCAGAGGTTTTTGCCCAGGAGAATTAACTGCAACAGCTATTCAAGGAGGGTTAACAATTTTTCCCAAGTTTTTGCAAGAAAAGCAGTGCTTCCACTCTTCCATATTTTTACGGAAATCCATACTTTCTGCCAGTTCCGTACTTGTTCCTCCATCGTTATCAATTCCCTCCGTAAAAAAGCTGCGACAGCGTAGGACTACCGAAATTCCGTAACAAAAGATGCGTACTCGCCTTCGTGTCGTCTAGTACTAGTATAAGTTACGGATATTTTCGGTAATTCTCTCGTTAATAAGTTAATGTTATAGAAACCTGCCAGATTGCTATTTCCTACAATCGGCCATTATTCCGCTATGCCCCATGCATTCATTGCGGGCTTGTCGGCAGTACATTTTTATCTGTGGATTGATCAAAATCTGGCAAACTTTTTGGGCCAATTTCCTCCTTTCTATCATTCGCTCATTCCGTCTATCTTCGGATTGTTGTCGCAGCTGGAAAATCTGCGCGTTGATCAATTTACAAATTTGTCTAGATCTAGAGAAATGATGACAATGACAATCTTTATTCATCTCGCAGGGAGAAATTTGTCTTGGTCGTTAACAATGGCAGTAGACGTTACAAAAATAAGACTTAAAGGTGCACTCACGCAAACACACAACAAGACAGGACATTAGGCCAAGTAAATACATGTCTCACGTGCTGGGACAAAAACTCTCTCTCTCTCTCTCTCTCTCTCTCTCTCTCTCTCTCTCTCTCTCTCTCTCTCTCTCTCTCTCTCTCTCTCTCTCTCTCTCTCTCTCTCTCCCCCTCTCTCCCTCTCCCTCTCTCTCTCCCTCTCTCTCTCTCTCCCTCCCTCCCTCTCTCTCTCTCTCTCTCTCTCTCTCTCTCTCTCTCTCTCTCAAACATTGCCATCAATGGAAATATGTTATGTAGATCTAGATCTTGGTGAAGAAAGCAAACAAGACAAAATGTTGGTGAAAAAATAAATGTTATGGTTTGCAGGCAATCTCTTCCAACAGGCTCCTCAATGCCATTTTCAACCCTCAAAAGGCACTAAATTTCAGTCCTCCGGCACAATTTTCTTTCCTTTTTAGCTTCGGCTGGTGGAAGCACTGGAAAAAGGCTACTGTAAATCGTGGTTTTTGGTTCAGAGAACTCCGATTAGCAGCTTACTCTTTTCTGTGGAAAATATTGTTGAAAAATAACTTTAGACTGGTAGTCTGATAACCATTTCGCTTTTGTTTCAAGGAGGCTTTAATTCCTGAAAATCTGAATTTCTTCTATACTCTGTCAAGTTGCAGTGTATTGTACTTTGTATTTTACATTACTTAAGGTCAAATCCTGTCTGAGAGTTGTTATTGGGATATGTTATTTTTGTATTTGTTGGCTTGAAACAAAAGCTGGAAATGGTTTCAGAGATTTCAGCAGGTCGGTTAGCTTGAGAAAAACATGTATGCGTGGTTATAATCTAGTCTGTTTTTTTTACATATTCCAGTCTGATATGCAGAGAGGGGTTCATGGAAGATTCCTCGACCAATCCACTTCAGTGAGAGAAGCTGCCATTGAGCTTGTTGGCAAATTCATTCTCATCCAGCCTGACCTCATTCCAAATTACTATGACATGCTGTCTGACAGAATTCTTGTGAGTTGGAATTTTACAAGGCAGCTATTTTCATTTATAGAAAGCAGCAGATTTTTACCACACCTGTTAATGAACCATTTTGTTACATAAAGCAAATGACGTTTGATATTTATGAGATTATTCTTCCCCATATCTAGTTATTTTACATTGGACAAGTTTATGAGTTACAAAATGTTTTTGTAAAATTCAGACTCCCAACATTTTTAGCCTTTTCATAATGATTTGATGTCTTGGATTTGTTGTTTGTTTTGTACCAGATTCCTTCCCTGAGTAATGTCTTATAGGTTGTTTAGAAAGGTATAGGTAGAGTCTTAAGTTCTCACTGATTTTAATTGTAAATCAATTAAGAAAGTAAAATAAACCCAAAAAATAGTAGAAAAGAAAAATTGTAGTAAATAGTGAAAACAAAGAATACGGAAAAAAAGATGATATACCTAATAGCACATACTGTTCTGCTATTCATACGGTTAGTAAACATTACTATCTCTGTATTCATATTTGTTTGTGCTTTTTACAGTTTTTTTCTTTTCTTTTTTCTTTTTCGCTTTTAACAGGACACAGGAATTAGTGTGAGAAAGAGGGTGATCAGAATCTTCAAAGACATTTGCATTGAGCATGGTGATTTCAACAAAATTCCTGAAATGTGTGTCAAGATGATCAGGAGGGTCAATGATGAGGAGGGAATCAAGGTGAGCAGTCATAAATGGACAATATTGTGAAAGAGACCAACTGTTTGATTTACAAAATAATAAGCGAAGAAAGAGAGTGTTCAGTTTTCAAAGAGATTATGACTGAACGTTGTGATTTGTGTTGGTATGATGAGGAGCGAATCAAGGTGAGCAACTTTGAACTGATGGTATTGTTACAAAATCTTTTTTATGATTTCCTGAATTTGTCAGTAAATATTGGTATTGAGAAGTTTGCTTTGAAAAACTAATTAATTAGAAGAGGCTATGGTGAGTACCTAAGCATGTTATGTGAGAGCTGATTCGTACAAGCATCCTTCAAAGTGGTTTTGTGCATACTCTGATTGTGGAATATTTTCATATGTGCTAGTGTACTATAATGATTTATTTGGCTTTTCAGAAATTGGTAAATGAAGTCTTTCAAACTATGTGGTTCACTCCTCTTGGAACAAGGGACAAAGACACAGGCAAACTTGTACAGAAAGTGATGAACATCACTGATGTTGTAAGTATGATCTCGATATAATTCATTTTAGTAGTAGTGTATTGTTTCCATGAATTCTCTTTTCTCTTAAATCATTTGATGGTCAAGTAGTGGTGAGATCTTGGCTTGGTGACGTGGTATAAGGGTTGAGCTGCCGAAGCATTTTCTGTCTTAGACAAGTCAAAACCTTCTGAAGAGAATGATGTCTTTTTTCATTTCTGGGTTGTGCAGGTTTTCTGTTTTAAATGAATTATTGAGGAATTTATAAAGGGGGGAGTGGGGAGATCCTGTAGTGACAGATTTGTTCACTAAAAGTTTGTTTTGTGAAAATTAATAAATTTAGCTGATTAGAATGTTTAGTTGTATAGTATTTTATGTTTTTTTTCCTAGCTGTCTTTGCAAAAAGTTGAGTTTCGGTTTGTGTGTACTTTGAACATTATATTTTTTTTCCAGGTTGCTGCAGCAAAGGATACAAGTTATGAGTTCTTTGAGCAACTTCTTGAAAATGTGAGTCTTGATGTTTTCTTTTCTCTTATGTGTCTTTGATTTTGTAAGTTCTTATGCACAGTAGAATTGTAAATGGGCTGATTCATCAATATCACGCTTATAACTCTGCCTGAACTTCAACAGGGAACTGCTGCTTTTGCTTTCCTAATCCTTACTATCGTCATTTTTCCTCTACTTCTTTTGTATGTTTGTCACACACTTGTGACCCGCAATTTCCAGGGTGCATGATAGTCGAAGCAGACTTTGTGCTGTTGAAGCTAAAGAGGTGAACAGAGTAATTCTGATTTCCTGTAAGGACTTCTCTGTTCACATCCACCCCTTGACGCTCATAGACCTTATGCAGTTAAGCGCAGTAAAACTACTAAAAAAAAAAATTATTTTTTAAAATTGCCTGTTTGCACATCTTTTCTTGACTTGGACCATAATGATATCTTTTTATACCTAGAAAACTTGGGTGCACATGTTCATTATTTTGGGCTTTTTTTGGAAAGCTGTAATGTAAATCTGACTTGGCCGATGACTTTAGCATGTTGACAATATTGTATCTATATTAATCTCCCAAGTAGCATTTTGTTCCCATTTGAAGTGCAAGTTATAAAATTATTTTCTTTTACCTCACTTTTATATGTACCCTGTTTTAATTTCATCATTGTTCTTGTATTGGGAGCCACTTTCATTTTGTGTTAGTTAATGTTGTACTCTTCATTGCTCCCCAGCTCCTGAAAAAGGATGATGATGGGAACTACAATAAAGCTGCAATTACAGCCTGCAAACAGATTGTTGATTGTTTAGTGGAAAATGTTCTCAGGATAGAGGAGAAGAGTGTTGGTGAGTGGAGTGAATGCCTTTGAATGGATATTGTTTTAGCTTTTATTTACCTTTTACTTACGTTTCAAAGCCCTGTGATCAGTGTTACTGTTATGGGAAGTGAATTTTTAGAAACCTGAGTGAATGGTTTTGTCAGTCAGGAATAGAACTGTACTGGATGGTGATTGGGGGGGGTGGGGGAGTGATGGGGTTAGAGTGAAAAGGTACACTTTGTTTCCTGTAATGGTGAACAAATCAATGTTTTGTTAGATATGCAGTTTGTAGATGTTGTATTTCTTCAATTTCATCTATTAAAATATGTTGGATATACATGTATTTTGTCTGCAATGGACCCCTTTGAATATTAGCTCATATTGTATAATTTCAAGAAAGGAGGCTAAAGCAATGTACATTTTTTTGCATGATGCATATTTTTCTTTTTCAGAGGGTTCAGAGGGTGCAGAGAGCAAGACCAGCAATACTCGTCTTGTTGGTTGTCTGTCAACACTCTATTTGTTCAGTAAGATTAAACCTGATCTCATGGTGGAACACGCAACCACACTACAGCCTTATCTTGACATAAAGTGCAATGTAAGTAGTCCACTCATGCCTAATTTTTTTTTCTGTTAACTCTAAAGATTACTGGCTTTGGTGGTTTTCATGAAAGTTGATGATGTATTTACTATGCAGATCTAAAGATTAATTTGAGTTGTATGTCACTCAGATTTACCCATTGGTTCTTGAGGGATAAACTTTCCCAACTCTTCAAATATATTATTTTAAAAGCATGGGTTGTGAGAAAATGACCAGCATAATTCTGTCTTTGAGATTCAGTAAAACAGTATGGGCAAAAAAAGAAAGGTTTGTCTGCTATTTCAGTAAATTTGGAAATGATTCTCAGGTAAGGAAGATTATCTGTTTTTATTTATGTTTTTTTTCTCTCTGTTCCCCCCCCCCCAATCAAATCACAGACTCAGGGAGACTTCATGGTGCTTCACTATGTCGCCCGAATTCTTGAACTTGTGATTCCATTGATGGACCATCCGAGTGAATCATTTCTGGCCCAGGTGGAGGAAGACATGATCAAGCTCATCCTAAAGCATGGGATGATGGTGAGCTTGTTTATTGAATTTTTTCGGTCACTAGAATGGAGAATTGGATCTTACATACACACAAGCATGTATGCTCACACTGACAGACGTACACATACATACATGTACATACACAAACACAATTTCATAATCTTTCATTCACTCTGACTTTTTGAATAAACTGCAATGTGCCCAGTATTGAGATTTTTATTTTTACTCTAATTCGGGCTCAGAGAACACAAACAGATAAGATAAACTATTTATCATTCCCTGAACTGATATCTCTTTAAAAAATTTTTTTTTACATGGTTTACCCGAATTATGGACGCCTCGAACACATTTGTGAATCCTTGATGTGTATGAGTTGTCTGTGCTCAAATATATTTAAGGCTTCTTTTACTATAAACTTCATGGTTTCAAGCCCTTTTATTAAGGATTCTGTTTTTTATGTTATAGTATTTTTAATTGTTGATGTTTGTTCATCATTTCCAAGCCAAGTGTGCTGGAAATTTATAAAAATTTATTGTTTTCAGGTTGTACAAAGTTGTGTCAGTTGCCTTGGAGCTGTTGTAAATGATGTCAGTCACAACTATGAACTAGTCAAGGATTGCTTCAAAAAATTTTATGGTATGTGTTTTTATCAGATACAGGTACCTAATTCAATTTGTGTTTTTGTTATAGCTTTCTGCAAATAAGATTTGTTGTTTTTTACCCCTAGTCTTCCTTTTGGTTGTGTCTTAAAAGGTTATGGAGGAATGGTATTAATTTGCTTTATCACTTTTTTGTATTTAAAGGGGAATTTCTTTGCACTTAGGTTTCTTGGGTCAAGAAAAAGCTCTAAGCAACTGAAGTCCAAATATTGTTATTTATTGTTCATTGTGGACCTATATATTCTGTAACAAAGTTGCAGTGTTGTTTCTGGTATCACAAGAAAATCTCAGTTTTTTAATCCTGATGCTTAACTCTGTCCCGTTTTTCTCCAGGTGTCTTAGCAAAGCTAATGCTTGATCATAAAACAAACAAGGATTGTCCAACGCTGAAGCAGAGACGACCCACATTGTTACGAGCTCTGTTCACAGTTGGGCTGTTATGCAAACACTTTGATTTGGATTCAAAAGACATGGGGGAGACAAAGGTTAGTGTTATTGCGCCAACTTTGGGATATGTCATTTTTTGGGGGAGTCTTTTGTTTGTGCTGGTATTGTGATTATGCAATGTTCTTTTCCTTTGGATAAGAACCTAGAAATATGAATGCAATACATGACTGATGATTTAGTGTGCTGATTCCTTTGGGGTTTTTTTTTGTTTTTTTAATTTTAAAATTATTATTCTTTAGTGAAGTGTTCTTTTTCTGGTAAATCTTTATTGCTGTTTTGGGTGTACTATCTTCATTGTTTTACTTGTAATCCCCTCATTTGATAAATGCCATTCAAATACATTGTTTGATTTCATCAATCACAGGTTTGTGTGAGAGAGACAGTGTTTGATGTGCTCACCTACTTTCTGAACCATGAGGATGAAGATGTACAGTTGAAGGCACTTACAGCAATTGGTAAGTCTTGTCTTTTAGTTGTAGTTGGCTTTCTATGTAACTTGATACTACATATGTGTTGGGATCTGACCATTTTCGTTTAAAAGCTTTAATAGGCTGATATGAGATGAAGTAAAGGGCTAAATGGGATGGTCCATCAATGTTCCCAGTGTTTCTGAAACTTCTTTGTTTCATAGGAAATTAGAAATCAGATTGGCTTACCTGAGTAATTTATGTGTTGTATGTAAGATGTAGTGCACTCCGAAGTGGAAAGTCCTGGTTTGAGCCTCGGTTCAGACAGATTTTTTTCGCCCCATTCTGCCCACCCAGCAGTAATGGGTGGGGAAGTAAAGGCGGTGTGAAAAGGAACTGGCCACCCTACCACAATATGCTGAAAGCCTTGGAAGTTGTCTCACTAACAAGGCAATCCCCAATGTACGGATTGGATGCTGGAACTTTTTACATGGGGAGGGGGAGGGAATTTAATTGTAAATCATAAGTGGAATAGGAATCCTTTATGTTGTCAAAAAATGCTGAGCTTTTTAAAAGTTTGTGAATGCTTAGGGGCATCAAGTTTTCAGGCTAAGAAGGCGCTTTTATTTCTTTTCTGTGAAGAAAAGATTATCTTTACTTTAAAGATTTCATATTCTATTTTTTCCTTCATAGGTTTCTTTGCTTGCCGACACTACACATTTATGTTGGCACCAACTCTCAAGGAACTGTACAACAGACTGTTGACTGACCCAATGGCATCAGTGAAACTGAGATGTCAGGTACTGTGTAAAACTGAACTTATGTGTTTATGTGACGTGTGTACAAGTTGTGCATGTCTGTTGGTGTAGCCATATTTGAAGTGGATATCAATCCTTCTGGCCTCTTGAACACCTTGGGAGCATCTTACTGCAACAGAATATTTTATTATAGTTAGGTAATGGCAAAATAAATTGGCAGTATTTGATGATATTGTTTTTTTTACAGATCTATTTCACAGCAGGGGAAATTTTCCTGGTTTTGCTCCTTTTTTCCTTTCTTTGATAGTTAATTATTCATGAATGAGGTTATTCTATAAAATTATTATCGACATATGTAAATAATTTGTGAGCGTGCCTTGTGAAAGGGACCACATGATGCATTTTGAAGAATCACGTTTTGTTGCATTTTCATGTGCAGAGATCATATCTGAACAAATTGCTTTTTGAATTTTAAAGATATCTTCAGTAGTTTTTGAGATATGGGTGATTTTGTAGGGCAGGGTACAGAAACAAAGTTTTGAGAAAAACGGCTTTAAAGTTTCCCCTTTGTTTCTGCTTCAAATAGATATATCTACGCTTCAAGACAACTTGACAACACATTTGCTACTCACAAACCAACTTTATAAAGCATTTAAGATAAAAGAACAGCTTCAAAGTGTTTAAATTACGTCTTCAAAACAAATTCACCACCACCTTGAACAAGAGTTCAAGAAATAGATCTAGGTTTGCATGGGGCAGAAAAATGCGATACAAGTTTGCTCTCCAAAAAAGGCGAAAGGGTATGAATGCGCAAAGCTTCGCTTTGTTTACATGTTCTAGATATTCATGCGCACTACCCGCCACTAGAGAGAGGAGAGAATGACCTAAATTTTGGTATGCAATGTGATTGGGTCGACTTTATGAATGGACAAGAGAAACCATCTGCAGTGTGTTCTCTGAAAACCAATTCTCTTGCGCATTTTTTGGGATTATGCAATATACATCGTGTTAAAAAACATGTAAAAAATGTATTTTAATGTACAAGAAACTCAATCCCTGTAAATATCGATATATTAATGGTTAAAGAATCCATTTTTAATAGAACTTAGTTTTTTGACCTTTGAAACCTGATATCTCGGTTTGAGCAAATGCGTCTTCTGGTCCCTTTCACCAGGCACACACACATTTTTGTTGGATTGCCTGTGCTCTCCAAGTTCTGTCGTAATCTGTTTGGTACATTTAATATGGGTTTTTGTTTTTCTTTCATATTTTTCTAGGTCCTGAGAAACCTTCAAACGTATCTCTTAGAGGAGGAGTTCCAGATGTCAAAGTCTGATGCTGATTGTAAGTGATGTTTTGATATTCAGAATAGATGGTTAGCTCTGCTTTGAACTAAATGTTACAGATGTTACTGCTCAGATTTATATTAACTGTACTATTTGCCTTTTCATTTTTGTGAATATTTAACACATTTTAATCATTGACAGAATTTTTTTTTGTTTTGTTTGTTTTGGCAACCCCATGCTTGATTTGTGTTCAGTTTTGATATACAATCAGCTTTCAGAACAGAAGCGCTTTCTAAAGTTATGTGACTATTTTATTGACTTAATAGAATGTTTATGTCAAGGAATACGCTATACTATTGCATATTGTTTTCGGATGACTTAACCCAATGGGCTGCTAAGTAAAATGTTACCAATAAGTGCTCATAAATGTTTTGTTATAATCCTTAAGTCCTCTTGAAGAAAGTGGCTCACTTGGTTTTGTTGTGCTGTCTAACTATTGCCAGTTTTTAATGTGATGCATTTTTGTCGTGTGGTTTGCTAAGATTTGAATGTTTACATATTTACTCTCATTCTCTTTGCAGGGAAGAAGCATTCCAAGCATGAAGATTTGAAAGAGATGGGAGATGTTCAGTCCGGGTATGTTTCCATCTCATTCTCTTATGGGATAGAATTTTTGTTTGTCCCTCAATCTTTTTCCTTGGTGTGGACCTATTCCATTTTGAGTATGTGTGTGTGATGATCAGTTTGTTCACCAGTCCTCCCCTCAAAATGAGGAATAATGTCATTGGTCACATTTGTATAGTTTGCACCATTGTTTGCTTTTTAAGCAAAGCTAAGTAGTCTGATGTGACAAGGCATAAGATACTGTTTCTAGTATACTTGCCGTCTTGTCCTGGATGCTCCAATGTGGTTTCAGTATAATAAATCTTAACCAGTATAAACTTAAAACACATTACACCCTAAGGGTCTGAACGGAAAGTCTACTCCAAAATCCTAAGCCAGGGGAAGGAACCCACCGCCTGTGAATACAAGCGTTTAAAAAACACATTTTAAAAATACTAAACATATTCCAAAATTCCTGGAAAAATAAAACTTGGAAAGAGAAATGATTGTAGTTTCAGAAAAATATAACTTTTTGTATGCACAAACTGTTGGAAATGTTCCCGATTCCTAGCTAGTAAGGGTGTAATGTGTTAAGTTTTTCAGTGGACTGGAAAGGTCTTTATGATTAAAAGTGCACCTCCTTTTCTTTTTTCCTATGACAACCAGCTCATATTGGTCTCATGATTTATATATGGATGCTTGGGTTCTTCTGACTTGATTTAACAATCAAAAGTAATTTTTGTCTTTTTGGTATGAATGATATTTGACCCGGTTGAAGTTCATGTAGCATGTGTGTGTAATGGAATAAGTGTTTATATCAGTGGTTGGAAATCATGTTTATTCTCACAATGTTTCAAGCTTATAGCATTTGTGTCGGCACAGTAAGTACATATATTTCCTTCTTCGTACAGAATGGCGAGTACTGTGATGCAAATATATTTGAAAGAACTTATGGAGGCATTCTTCCACGACAACTCTCAGGTCCGACTGACAGCTCTAAATGTTGTCACCCTTGTTCTAAGGCAGGGTCTTGTTCATCCCGTCCAGGTGAGTGAGAAGAATACAAGATGGCTTCAAAGCTAAAGTTGCATGCTGTGTGGTGTTTGTGGCTTTTCATGGGCAACTTCTCCTTGTTCAAATTTTTTGTGACAATGATGATGTGATGGGTTTTTATCTGAGGAAACAAGTTGAAACTTTTATATGAGGATATGGGAACGTATGTATAACAGAAGGTAGGAATATGCAACTGCATTTCCCAGTGAGGTTGACATGTTTGTAAATGCTCTCTTTTCTTTGATGTTAGTGGGATATCATATTGCTAATGAAATTTTATTAATTAAAGAGAGTTTTTTTCTTCTTTTTATTATTCATTTTGATGTTGGTGTCTTCTCTTCACTGTCAAGGGAATTCGACTTTGTGAAAATATAATATTTTATGAAGTGAAAATTTTGTTTTCATGGGTATGGATAATGAACAACTATTGCTTTTTTTTCTTCTTTCAATCTTTCCTCAGTGCATCCCTTACTTAATCAGTATGGGGTCTGATATTGAAAGCGCAATCAGAGTGAAAGCAGATCAGCAACTTCAAGAAATTGAGAAGAAATACCCTGGGTTCACTCATGTAAGAATTTTTGTATTTGTTTTCTTTTGTTCGTTATTTTAACTTTTTTTCTGCAGCAGGCTGCTCAAAGCGGCTTGTGGTTGGTACCGCTATGCAAATGATATGCTATTGACGGCTGGGTGACGTTCCTTTACAACTACGACATAATTTTTTTTTTACTATAATTGAAAATGTTTCTTTTACAAAAATTTCTTTCATAGGTGAATTGTCAAAACAGGTTTATTTGTTTTGATTTAATGACCAATTTAGTTATGTTTATGTCACTGTCAAATTTTGTACCTAAAGAGGGCTCTGGCGCAGTGAGAAAATCATCCTCCGGAGAAAAAGACACAGGACATGAATTCCAGTCGATGTACATTTAACTTGAAAGTGGTCAAATCAAGTGAAATTGTTGCACATATATAGAAAAAAACGTCATATAAAGAGTTAGATTCATCCAAGATCGACCTAAGTTTGCTTTCTTTGCTGCGGAGGTAGGTGAACGAAAATGATGAATGTCGGGAAAGAAAATGTTTTTTCCAGGTTTTAAAGTTTTAGTTTGACAACTTTTATCCTTGAATTTGCTTTTGCATTGCTAAATTTATTCTGTCCTACTTTAAATGAAGTCTTTGAAATCTACCTTTAGAATGATTGTTCTTTGTAATGATGTTACATAGTCTCAAAAAGTGTGAAAGTTTATGAATAACCTACTGATTTACCTTATTTTTTAGGAGAGAGATTGTTGTGATGTGTAAATAAAGATATATTTTTAAAAAATCAAATGCCATGAAGAATTTGGCTTCTCTTTGTTTCATGTACCTGTCATACTGCTTTTCTGTTTATCAATGCAGTTTTATAAAAACTTGAAAGACTAAAAAGTAGCTTTGAATAAATTGGAAATGAATTTCTTCTATGACAATCACTAAGGGAATGAGTTGATGACTTGGTCTGTTCCTTTTTCAGATGAAGGCCCTTCAGGGAATGAAAGCTTCTTACAGGCTCCAGAAAGTGTTTCACTCGAGTAATCCGATGGAACCGATCAGAGGGCTGAGATACAATGATGAAAATCAACCCCAAGCACTCAATGCATTCCTGTACTCGTTGCTAAGAGCAAATCGATCTCACAGACGAGGACTGCTGACTTCCACATTAAACCTCTTTGATGACTCTGCGGTAAGTGTGAGGGTAAATGTTTTCAGTCTTTAAGAACTATATCTATCTCTTAGAAGTCTGTAAAGATGTAAGTTCTGTCTTGTGGATTACCGGTTAAGATCAGGTTTCATGCGAGCCACTTTGCATATTTTGATACGCTGAGTCCGAAAATGAAATCCATTTTTAGTGGCGATAATTATTTTACAAATTTTGCATGCAGAGTCTTATCCCATGCGGCTGCAAACTTCAAAGGTATTTTGCGTCAGTTCGCCTCTCCCATTTTGACATTAGATATAATGTTAATTCAGTTTAAATCCAAATAAGAAACACGCTACAGGGGCACTAAATGGAAAAGGGACCGCAATTAGGATTGCCCAAATTACAACACACGCTTTCTTTCATGGTGAATACAAAGGTGTGTGTTTTGAAACAAATTTTCACTGAATAATACTTTTAGCCACCAATTGACTTACCTTTCATTCAGTGTCTTTAGGAAAATGGGGGAAAAAAAGCTAATTCAAGTAGTCTGTTTAAAAAAAATTAGTGCAGTTTACTGCGGCACAGCACTTACAGTGTGTGTTCTTAGCATCAGCGATGTTTGAGTTTACCGCCCCAGTTCCTGTTGTCACGGGATTAGTCAGATTCGCAGTCTGGCCCAAGCTGTACTGTCTTGTTTACATTGCTAGGTCTCTGGTAGTATGAATTTTTGTTTGAGGCTGAAGTTGTCCTAGAATTTAGACACGTCTTTTCATGAATTAATCTCTCACTTTCATGCCAGTTGATTTGGTGCTTTGAACTGTTTAATGAAAGTCTATGGCATTGTTTTGCATTAGTTATTTCAACTGCTAAGACACTGAAACTGCTGATATTTTGACTTGCAATGTTCCCTGTATTATTTTCAGAGAATCTCACTAGAGGAACAAGTGTTCATCGCTGACAATTTGGCATACTTTGTGTTCCAAAATCAAGACGAACCTTTGTTCATCATACATCAAATAGACATCATCGTGTCAGTGACAGGATCCAACTTGTTACAGTCCTTCAGAGAGGTAATGAACTTGACCAGCTGAAATGTATTTTTGAAATTGCTCTTTCTATTGTGGTTGGTTTCTTGAAGAAATATGAAAAGAATCATAATCATGTAATTTTATCGTCAGTTTTTAAAATTTGTTCAGGGGAACTTCAACTAAAAAAAGCGTTCATTAAATGACTTGACAGAGATAAGTAATGTGATTTGTGTCTGCATATTTTTGAATGACATATGAACTGAAGATTAAAAACTGAATACTATTACTACATGTACGGATAATAAGTATGAGAATGCTGGAGTTTTAAGAGTATAACTTTTTAATGTTTTTCCTCTTGATTTGTACCTGAGAGTAGGCTTTTGGGTTATGACATTTTTTCTGTTGTGTTTAGTTTGTTGATGATTATAATTATTGAAGCCATGAAATGCAGTTTTTAGTTTTAGTTTTTAAAAAATTCGCTCCTCAGAATCTTCTTCACAAGCACAGTACTGGAGTCCAGAACGGTGTGTCATCTGAAAACTTGCCCAACGGAGATGTAAATATGGTGGAAGATGATGATGATGATGATCCTGAGTCATTGATTCGTGAGTTTCCTTCATTGATGCTGATTTCAGGGTCTTTGGTAGAAAAGTTTTATCCTGTTTCTGTATTAAGAGAATCTGAATCTGATTGGTGGAAATTTTTAGTTCGGATGGATGCAACAACAGGATTGAGACCCAAAAAAATAAATAAAATTTGTTTGCTTTTTCGTTACATCTGTCTGAACTGAATGTCTTGCCCTGCAAAAAAAATGCAGGGGGGAGGGGGTGTCCTTTGTCTATTGCAAAAAGTTGTGTAGACATTCTCAGGAAGATTGTTGAGTGGGTGGTTGGCGGGTGCTCTGGTGTGGTTTGCTTCTTCTTTCCTATTAAACATCTATCGTTTTTATCTCCCCTTCTTCTTTTTTATGTTTGTTACTCTCTTGTAACACCTCTATTCTTCTGGCGCTCATATGACCTTATGCAGTTGCGAGTACCGTAAAACCTCTACTAAAACAGAACATTCTCAGGAAGATTACTGGTATTTCTTTACAATTCATCATACTTGTGTATTTTTGTGTGTGTATGTGGAGGGTAGAATTTGTAGTCCGTGGTAAGGTCTGCTAAACTGGTACATCTGTCTCCAGTTGACTTAGTTATTCAACCGTCTCTGTGTTTCTGCTATTCACAGCTATCTGACACGTGGTTGAACCGTTATAGTGTCATGCAATTTTTACAGATAATGTCCCCCCCCCCCCCGTATTTTTCTAAACTAGTTGTAAAATTACAACATAATATCTCTAAAATCAGTGAGGTTAATACAACAATACTTTTATACTTTATGATTACAAGAATGAAAAGCTGAGCCAGCAAGTTATAAAACTCCTTTAAATAACCACTGTTCAATATTGACTAGCTCCACCATTCACCATGCATAGCACAAGGGCGCTTGACTCTCATGGCGCAGGAAATTTTTTTCTCCAAGAAATCAACAGTAAATTGTTGCAAGGCATTCCCCTTCACATTTGAAATATAAGAAAGTACCATGTACATGTATTAAAATAGCATGAATAGTGACCTCACGCTTCAAAGAGTTGATGGGGAAATCCCACCCCCTTGAAATGGCACAGCACCAGTGGGCACACCTTGGAATGCTTTTATTGTGCTCATTAGACCCCAATTCAGCAGCCTGATGCAAGGTTTTCATGGCATATTGGTTGCAGTGAACCATCATTTTTTTATGTCATGAAGTGATGTTTATTCTTGTTTCTTTGACCTGTGTTTATTTGCCTTTTTTTGTTTCAGAAAAACTACCAGAGAACATAAAACCTTTAACAGATGTAATGCATCTTTCTCAAGGATGCATTCTTCTATTGGTGCTAAAGCAACATCTCAAAGAGATGTATGGCCTGACAGAAGGGTAAGTTCTGATTCAAGAGTAAGGCACTAAAACATTCTGAATTAAGTTTTTTTCAGTAGTGAAGAAAAAATGAAATCTTTTATTTGTACATATTTTTATGATTGAATTTTAGTACAAACACTTACACATCTAAACACTGCAATGTTTTGAATAAATATATCTTGTTTATGTCTCAGTTTCAGACATATTTTAAAATATTCAGGTGTAATGCACAGCTTCTTTAAATGCAATCTGTTCTTCGTATTTCAGCAAAATTCATAGGTATTCCCCAACAGAGGCAGCAAAGGTCTATGAGAAACCATTGAATCGCAAAGCATTGCCATTGTTTGAACCCCAGCACACATTGCAAGTGTTGAGGTCAACATATGAAGAGGACACGAGAAGTGAGGAAGAGAAGAGACAAAAGTTGATAGAAGACTATCTTGAGGTAAGATGGTGTGGTAAGATGGTGTGAAACTTCCGCTTTTCCATGGCATAGTCTACCTGTATGACGGGACATTTTGTTTGTATGAAATGAAGGGATCAGAGACAGAGAAAAGTGATGTTAAATTCCTTTTCTCTGGCAAGTTGCTCGCAGCAGCTTGCTGTTGGAACCGCTATGGCTTGGTCAGTCCTTTATGATAACACCAATGTTAAATTAATAGTCGGCAATTGTCCAAAACAGGTCTCTCTTACTAAAGTTTTTTAATTAGATGAAGAACTACTAAAATAGGTTCATTTGATTAAATGACCAATTTAGGTTTTTGGACTAAATGAGGGCTCTGGCATAGTGGGAACACCCCTTCTAGAGATCAATAATTTAAAACATTTGTTGATTTAAATTTTCTGTCTTCCTACCAGTGATATGTCTCTTTGCTGTACTTGATTTTTGTTTAAACATATCAAGTTATTTCATTACAGTACTGAACTCCTCTTCTTATCCTGGCTAGTCTGCTTAGTTTTGTGGATGGAACAAATATGACAAGTGCTCTTGTACATTATCTGCAGATGCCTTCTCAGAAATTGTGATGTCCGGTGTTAAAATATTAAAGGGAACAGGACATGAGCGTAGTATGTTGCAAGATGGAGATTTGAACAAGAGATTTTCACAAGCAGCTTATTTCTGGAAACGTTATTTAAAAGATATTGTTTATGTCTCTAGAAACTAGTCACCAAAGTTTTGTTTTGCATGTGCCTTTCTGTCTTGTGAAAATTAAGATCAAAGATTTCTATGTGATGGTCTTGCCTTTACTAAGCCTCACTTTAAATTATTTGAAAATGTTATTGTACAGTTCCGGGACTTGATGATGAGTATAGACCCAACGGACGATGACGACAGTGGTGACGAAGGCCGCTCCGCTGGAAAAGCCACGCCACAGCCTGGTGCAAACAAATCTCCGTCCCATCAAAGCGATGCAGGCGAAGGGGTCAGCAGGAACGGGGATACTTCAAGGGTTGAAGGGGATGGGAACCTAGATCCACTTCAAGTCAATTCATCTACCTCAGGAATATCTGTAAGTGCTCAGATTCCTTTTGTTAACTCTTGTGTAAGAACAACATGAATGACATGTGTAGCTGCTGATTGATCAGAGCAGAGCTAACACGGACGGATGTACATTTATTTGGTTATCTCGTGTCATGAAGTATACAGGAACTTCTCTGAGAATAGACATCTAGAGATGTATTTTTGTATACATAAATGTGCCAAAATCAGACTAGTTGGGAGCAAAAAATGTATTGTTTATTAAGAATGACAACTGACTTTTTAAAAATAATCTTTTTGCACTATTTGTAAACAACCTATCACATATCAATTAAAATAACTGAATTTTTTTTTTTTTAATCCAAAAAGTTTTAAAAAATTGGTGATTTTGATTTTCAGTCTTTGTGTAAATTCCAGTTCCTCAATCCTAACTGCGACCAGCATGTTATTAACCTTACATTGTTGAGAGGGACGTAAACATTTTACAGAGGTGTTTAAAAATTATTTTTTTCTTTTGGCAGGGAAATCCGTCTTCTTCATCTTCAAGATCTCCAAGAATATCACACTTTCCATTGGATCACATGCACCATCACCATAGTGAGAAAAGGAAGAAAAGCCACCACCATTCTTCTCAAAAGGCTCACAAACTTTTAGCGTCGGGAGGCCATAAAACTCCAACAGTGAAAAAGAAACGGAAGAAGAGGAAACGCTTAGATAGTGATGACGATGATGACAGTGATGATGACCCCGACTTCGTAGGTTGAAGTGTTCCTTGTTAATATAATCTCCAGCTGTTGTTGATGTTGTTCTCTTCATTTACCTTCAATCTTCTTCTGTGGAGCATTCCTGTTTGGTCAGTCTTGTCAAAGCAGTGCTTCGCGCGATGGTTCTATGAAACAGCATTTTTTTATTTTTTTTTACCTGCAAGAGTCTATTTTGTAGTGCAGTGGGTTTTTAAAATTCAGTGACACTGTGGACTAGGTGTGATTCACTAATGGGAGTGCACTGTTGCCCTTACCGGAATGATGCAGAATCCTTGACCGATTCAGAAACTTAGTAATTCTGCAGAGGTTCATGACACCAAGCCTGCTGTCAAGTTCTGATGTTTAAGGAGAGAACAGGAAAGTTGTGTGCTGCTGCCTGGATTGGTTTGGTATGAGTCATTGTGTCAAGTGTGTGGACATTTTTTAGTTCTTCATGTTGTGGTAAGTAGTGTATAACATGAACATTGGATAGATTGTGCATTCATATTATTGTAGCTTTTTGAAAAAGGGACCAGTATTGTGACTCTTAAAGATACTATTTGAATGCTGTGTGGGGAAAAGAAATGAGGTTTTCTTGAAGTTGGAACATCACATACCTCAAAAATACAATATTGTTTTCAAAGACTAGATATTTTTTTTTTAATAGCGCCTTTTCCCCCTGCCTCAGTTTCGGGGTTGTCTTAACTCATTCGGAGCGCAGGTTTTTGACCGGATTTGCACTCAGAGACGCACGATTTTGGGTCAACTTTGAAAGTCTGCCATTTTTCCACCTTTTAATATTTTTTAAGTCTTTGTTTTCTCTATCTACACGTTCAACATTTGGACTTTGCCTTAGATCTCTCCCTATTTGCCAGGATATATTCCTAAACTTGCCAGGACCCCTACAAAAATGGTGTATGAGACATAAAATTATTTGCACCTCTAAGTTGACAGTGAAGAAATGCAGGAACAAACAAGATAAAGCTACAACACAACTATAACGCAGCTAAAAACACATCCCAACACAATTTACAGTCCGTATACTGTGAAGAAATGGTTTCAGTCGTTGTGAATAGTCCTTCTTTGTATGGTACTCCTCAAACATCCGTGTTCTTTGTTGCCTCGACTGCCTTCATAAATCGCCGCAGAAAATTTATTTAAAAAACAACGCTACACGGTCATAAGTCAATAAATACAAAATAAAATATGGCTTAGCAATGTCAACCAAAAGTTCCCTGGAATACCTTCATTTGTATGAATACAACGGTGGAGAAATGCAGTTGGATGTAGGTCTGATTCGTCCCGGATGAGTCAATTGACCCTTGCGGAGAGGGATGTTCAGTAATATGGAACTAGATTATTTATTTCTTGGTTTTAGATTTGGTAATAAGGATTGAAAGTTCATGTGTTGTTTTGGTAATTATGTTTTCAAAAGTAAACATTTAGTTTTTTTGGTGTCCTTATTGGGAAAGGGTAGTGCAGATTTAAATTGCCTACATGTATTTATTGTTTACATTAAAAGAAAAAAATTCTTTATCTTTTCATGGACAGAAACAAATATGAGATAAAGAGCTCATGAACTGAACATCTTATGGGCGAGATATCATTTTGGGGAACAAGACTGGGGGGGGGGTTAAAAATTAAGTGCCGAGAACAAGGCTATGGTGGAAATTTTTTTTAAAATGGCATTCTTCTATTTTTATTAACCATTTCCTGTTCAATCACTGGTGAGAAATACTCCTCTAGAGATTTACGCTCTGAAACTTTTTGGGCACACTTCTTGTTTCTTTCATGGGAATTCTTTAGTAGTAGGATTGGCTATGATAAAAATTTGATCCCTGACTTCAGCATTTGTTTTCACAATTGAGAAAAGTGTCAGAGCGGGCATCAGCAATTGGAATTTATTTTCACAACCACGTTAAGTTGAATTACTGGGTGACCAGTGTTGGAGGAAGAATATGAACTGGAAAGGGTTAAGAGAAGAAACAACTGAAATTTCTCTGCGTAAGAAGCTTTGCGCTTTAAAGTACAAATAATTGAGCAACAGACAAGTTTTGTTGAGGTTTTTTTTTTGCCACACCATGTGCTAGGGTTTGGGTGTTTGGTTTGATGGTAAAAATTTGTTTTCAAATTTATAATGGCAATTGATTGGCCTTCATTCCAGAATATTTTCATGCACTGATTGTGCCAGGCTTCCGGCAATGGATGTGTTTGGGATGACATTCTGTTTTAACCAAGTTTTAGATTAAGCTTCTTTTGAGCTAATAACTCTGTTATGAGTTAAAAATGGTTTTCTAACTGGTCTTTGATACTGAGCATCATTTTTTTCTTCCGGTTTCAAGAATTCTTACAGCCTGATGATTTGAAACGAAAAGGTATTCTGGTTAATTGTACAGGTGGTCAGTGTATATTGTCTTGTGTTTGCCAAACCGATCCCCTCTTGGGGTATTTTGCATGAATGCTACTTGGGCAAGAGTTTTGTACATGAAGTAGGGGAATTTTGGAATTGCGGTTATTCTATTGGATTGCCTTTTATTTTTATTTATTAAATCTGCATACAAATGCTGTAATTTAAGACCTGCCTTGTGAATATGTTGAAATAAAAATGTCGAATTTGCCTGTCTCTGAAATAACTCCATAGACGTGAAAATTTTGTATTCTTTCTGAAGGCATTCTTGAACCTTCTCTGCTGTGGGTGTCGCACATGTCAAGGTGTCAGACATAAGTTAAGCTCCAGACTTTAGTGAGCTTCTGTCGTTCTCTTATGTTCAGTCTTGAATTACAGATTGTTTCTGATAGCTTTGTTTATCTTATGTTAAATCTTTTATGTAACACCTTCTAATCTTTTTCTTATCCTTTTAGTTCAAATTATGCTTTGCTTCCAGAGACTTATTTCATAGCTAAAAAAGTGAAGAATGGTTCATCACGCTGGTGAAAGCTATTATTTAAAATGTGGAAATTGGTTAACAAATCAAGGCAGACTTTTAAAGCCATGGCAACGGTTTCACTTATTGTATTTCAAAGCTGTATCTTACATGAATCCAAAGTCTTCGTTATAAGTTGTTTCCTTTGGCTGATAATGATTTTGATGCCAGTTACGGATTTGTAACAGACACTGAGGTTTATGCTTGTTCTATTATACCAAAAAGGCACCAGATCTAGGCTTCTTGTGAACTCTGGTGACACCATTTTTTGGTAGTTTGTCATTGTTATAAGGGACAAGAAGACATCATTGTCCACATAGTTTATGAGTATGAACTCAGTTTTTCATCAAAAGCAGTTAAATTGACATCACTGTGGCCTGCATGCTTTTCATAACAGCATTTTCATTTTCCAAAATGACACCTGCTCATTTCCTATTGTGAAAGTAATAGGGTGCCGAGGAAAGGACTGTTCAGTTTTCCTAATTTTTGTGAAAGACTGGATATCCAGCATCAACAAAGTAAGGATATTCTGGTTGGACATGTGTTGCCGAAACAGTTGCTGACTTTCATTGTTGGTCAATAGTGCTTATCTGTTTCACTGATGTTCTCTGTAGTCTGTGAAATAAGTTAGAAATTTCTTATTTAAGTCGGGGAGGGGGGAATTCCCGTTTAGATGTAGTATGTTATGATTGACTGTTAGCATGTAGACTCACAAACATTATCAGCATTTTCATGCATAAATTTTGAGTTTTGTATGCTCGAGTCATTGCTTTGTTTTCAGTTTCAATGTTCAAACATTTCCAGCAAAGTTAGTTTTCTGCTGGAGGTCGATTGTTATTGCTCTTTTGAATTGAGTCATTTTGCAGTGTTCACTTACATTTTATCCCTTTTATGCTTGGGATTTTAGTTTCAGGTGTGTTCGACCCATTTTTTTTTTTTTCAGTTTTGTAAGCCACAGAAATTTCAACAATAAGTAATTTTTAAAAATTTAATTGTTTTTCATCTACAGAAATGCTTTCACTTTTTTTTAAAAAAGGAAAAAAATGTGGCTCCCAGTTTTGGGTTTCACTTTGATAGAATATCTGTGTAATCATTCCTTATTTGTTTAAGATAGATTTTAGAGATGTCCGAACCATTATCTAACAAAGATCTTTGAAAATAATGGAAAAATCTCAAGGGAACCTTTGAAAGAAAAATCTTTTCCCTGTTTTTAAAGTCATGAATAACGAAATGTTATTTCACAGGATTTCACAGGATCAGGCAAAGCATTGTAATGTAAAAAGAGAAACATTGCCTCTTATATTTCTTTATTATCTATCAATGAGCTTATAAAGTTGTCAGAGTACTTTCACGTCTAACTCAAATAGCTACATTGTTAATGTTTAGATCAAATATTGTGAGAATCAGACCATGTACAGTTGTTTGAATCCAAAGTTTTTGCTTGTTTGGACATTTTGGTAGTGTGAGTGATTTGCTTTATTCCTGAGTGAATGTGTTTTGATGTAATTTCTCAGCAAGAAGTTGATGTTTGTGCCTTTGTATTTATTGGCAATAGATGAATTTGCAGGACTTATTTATTGCATCATTTGTAGGGGATGTATATCCTTAAGTTCCATTTGTGGGATGCTTAAATATGTGAAGTACTGTAGAGCTCTATTTTAGTATGCGCTATTCATTATCTATTTAAGAGATAGGAAAAATGCACCAAAAACTGACGAAGTGGTGATCTATTTGGTCCATGTATGTCTATCCTGACTGCAGTATAGTTTTCAAGAATTGCAGTAACTGAAGAAAATAGTATGTTTTGACAGAAGACCAACAGGAGTGCTCATTATTGCTTAATATGTTCCCCTCTCTCAGACATCATCTCATTTTGTAAATCTGTTTCAAGTTATTAAACATTGTCACCTTGATTTGTCTTCATATATACATGTGTGTGTGTTCTCTAAATTGTTCGACCTTGCTGTTTAATGAAAAAGTAATAATTGTCATCGTGGGCTCTGTCTGCCATATTCAGAAATGCAGGTCTTAAGTATAGTGGCCTGTTTTGTTTGTAAATAGTTTTTTAGGGTTTTATATATTGCAAGCCACTGATTCCATTTATTTTCATCTTGTGAATGTTCATTTCATCGTCTTTGGTCGGTCGTGTATGATGATCAAATCTTCCAAGGACATATTTTAAAAACTCTCAGACAAAAACAAAAAAAATTAAAATTTCAAGTTATTTAAGAATGAACATTAAAAGTGTGTTTTGTGTTTTGCTTTATAAAATACAAGTTTAAGAAAGAACCTAGGAAATTGACACTTCATAATAGAGAAGCACCAGGTGGGCGAAGTGCCAAGAAAGAGACAATTGTCACGTACAACACGGAGGTGTAGCTCTGCTCTGCATAATGACAGACTTATGAGGTGCTTTAGGTGGCTGGGGCATATTTAATAAAAAATAATAGATAACATTTGTATAGCACAAATCCTCGCTCAACAGCAAGCTCTGCACTTCACAATCTATACTATTACCTCAGCAGACCTGAGACTGAGAGCATTCTGAAACAATCTCAACTTCCTGGGAAGCATACAATGCAAGTAGCCTTTTATAGGCGCTGAAATATTGACATACTGCATACTTGAGGCAGATTTAGGTGCAGTGAACTCGAAAAAAGATACATACAATATTCCTTATTTGCAGTTTCCCTGTTGACTCCCTTAGCTGTCGACAAGGAGTTTAGTATGACTTTGAGGAGCATGCTAACTAATGTTATGGATTGAGATTTGAACCCGAGTATGGTCCCCCTCTTTTGCATTGTTCGTTGAAAATTTTCTCAGTTCAGTGTTGTAGGGGAGAGGACATGTGATGAGAAGAGAAGTGTGCTGCCTTGAAAATTGTCTGTTTGATCTTAAGTCAAAAATTGCTGTGCAAGGATTCCACTACCTCATGCAACAGTCAGAATGGCACCCTGAATTGAACTGTCTTCTTTTTGTTTCCAATTGAAGTGTAGAATCACAATGGCAGTGGTATGTAGGCTACCTAAAGTCCATTAGCACGTTACAGACTGATTGGTGATATCAGCAATATCGAATTCAATAAATCGATATTTTTTCACAAGGAATATCAATATATCAATATTTTTCTATACTACAAAATTATTATTTCCAAAATGTCGACGCCCGAAACACGGTTGTTTTCTTCTCTTTTTTTTGTTTTTTAAAAACTTGTTAAAATATACTTTTTTGGTGTTTTATTGTGGGAGAAATTATAAAATCAGTCTGCTAATTCCTGGAAATGCGGTGCTGAGTGGACGGCATATATCAAAATATAGATATTTTTCTCACTGCTTCGATACGATATCCTAGCATCTGCGTTTGTTGCCATTTTTTGCCAATAAGTTGCCACAAAAATGGCAAAAATTGCCCAAAAAGTTGCCATTAATTTTCAAGCTTTCAACTACCTGTGACGACGTAATATATTGATATAGTATAGAGGTAAATTAATCTAAAGCACCAGAATTTCTTGCGCTCTGTTTTAAGCATCTAGAATATTATTTTTAGACACATAGAGTGTAAAAACTTGAAAAATAAAGGTTTCACAACAGAATGAAGCCAACGTTAGAACAGCACACAAACAACCACAAAAAGTAACAAATAAGGGCGTGTTTCCACCTATCCGAAGATTGGCCGTTTTAACCCTAAACGTGTTTAATTCAAGAAAAAGTACAGGATATTACATGTAAATTATGGAATCACACACAAGGGGCCTGCCAGTGTCAAGTGTCGGTATTCGGTTTTGGTGGAGACACGCTCTAACATAGCACATTTATATATATTTTTTTAATGTAGGAACATCAAATTAAATGACATTACGCTATATAAACACACACACACCAATAGATATATAAGAAAAATTAACTCACCAACAAAGAGGGGAAAATAAAAGACAAACAGCAATATATATAATAAATAGTATCATATAATGTACTTTTTATTATTCTTTGCGTGAAAATAACTATACATGGACACCTTAAAATTATCAAAATACACGTCTATGTTATGAAGTAGCCTTTTCTTTTTGAAAAATGCAAAAATCGCAGGCTGCGACAAACGCAGATGCTAGGATATCGATGTGTAAAAATATAGATATTTCGATTTCAGTGTACCCACCACTATTGCAGACTACTACTATTTCACCTCCTCTCAAAGATTAATTCAGAGGTTTAGCCGTGAAAGGGTTGTAATTTTGTAAAACTTAATGCACGCGTAAGCCTCATGATAGAATAATTATATATGCAGCTTACTTGTTCGCCAAATAGTTCATTCACAAGGGGCTGATGGTAATGTAGTCTCTTTGGAAGTGTATGCATTGTTGGCCTCCAATTCCAACCACCCGAATTTCAATTTTGGCAACCCCAGCCTAAATAATCTCACGGATGTCTTTGATGGAGCAGCTTCTGAAGCGCAAGGTCAAGTTGGGATAACTCCTTGCTCCCATTCATGCTCTACTCTGGAATTTTGTTGCCTGTGCTGTGAGCAGCATGCTTTCTGTAATAACACTAACACTGAAAGAGTTTACATTCACACATGCTGGTGGACTACACTATGCCCAGTGACTGAAATACCTACTGATACGTAACATTTTAGTCAGTTAATATTTACCCCTCCAGTCGTATAAATACCAGTACTTTACATTCTGGGCTTGAGAAATGCCAGCAGAAAAATCAAGTTCTCATTTTGATTAGATCTGCAGTTGATAGGACAATCAACACATGAAGTAAATCTTGAATTTAATAACTGATTAGGTACTGAAGAGCTGCAAAATACGCTGAAAAAAGGCGATACACAAGTAGGCCTACCTGTATTGAAGTAGAAAAGATGAACGATCCCATGATTTTGCCCCCGAGAGAAAAAGTAGAGATGTTGAATTGCGTCTTTGGCAAGCCAAATAGTGGTAAATTGTTGGAAGGGTATACTTATATATAATATTAATATTATGGCTTGTTCACTTTCGTCTGACCTCAGTTAAAACAAAATCAAATCAGATCGCTCTTTTTATCTTCTCAAATCTTAACATACACGGGCCTAAAAGTTGGATGACCAACACTATCTGAACCCATTCATAAAGGTTACTGCAAACTAAAGTTTAGAAAAATTTTCTTGGATGTTGGTCTACTTCAGCTTAAAAAAATAAATAAAAGGTAATTTACAGCATACAAATTTACCTAAAAGGTTTTAAAACGTAAAAAAGATTACCCATTTTCCTCAACATATTTCAACGTATGCCTAAGAAACAGACAGTCCAAAAGACAGGTTAGTACATTTCAAGTGTTACTGGAGTTAACCTTACTTTACTTACTTCACTTTATCCGTCCTCTTGTACCTCTAGAGTAGTATAGATGGCTCTGATGTTGTCTAGTTAATCACGGGACGAAATCGACAAGCTTATAGGCCTACTTATAGGACAGGTCCATAAGTGCTCAGTTCCCCCCAGCACCAAAGCCCGCAAGGTATCCATACTGATTGTTCCGGTGGCTGTCTGATTATGGCGACGCCTTTCCCTTCCAAATAATCGTTCCTTTCTTCCTTCTCCCCTCTCTATCCCCATTTCCCGCATCCTAATGATTGCGTGGTGTTCTGCTATCTCCTTATCTTCTTCATCCCGCAACTTTTTATCCAGGGTCTTCAACACTTCTCCTTTGTCAAATTTCACCTCACCATCAACCACGGCACTGCCTGCCAGCCTATCAGCCTCCTCATTGCCTTTCACTCCAGAGTGCCCAGGACAGAATATCCACATGATGGCTCTAAACTCTAAGTGATGAGTGTTGTATTGGGTTCATCCATTCACTCCGAAGAATCCCTTTCTCAACCCTTCGCAAGATGCTCTGGGAGTCCGTGACAATGATGAGACGAGTTGTTCTTGGTCTTGTATTATGAAGCCATCCAAGCGCTCTTGTTACGGCCTCAATCTCCATTTTCATGCTTGAAGTTGTTCTTTCTATGGCCCCTGACATGCCATGAACCTTTTTGTTCCCACTGTACACCACGAAACCCCATCCACTTCTCTCACCCCTCCTGACTGATCCATTCGTAAAGATCACTGGGTCTTCTGGCTTGGAATGCTCCTCAATTAACTGTCGTATATCATTGTCGTTAATGACAGCAGCACATTCCTGTCTTTCACGACCCATAGTGATGTGAACGTTGGCCAGGCTTCTACAATCGGGGCTCAATTCAAACCACTCCTTTCCACAGCATATTTCATCGATGCCACAAACTTTCCTCAAGGAGTCTTCGGCTTCTGCCATCCATGAGCTGCCCCGTTTGATCCTGTTTCCTTTGATGCTGCCCAGGTTGTCATGCAAAGGGTGCCTCGGGTCTCCCAAAACATTCAAGTACAACTTTGCCTGTGCCACCTTATGCCTCACTCTGATGCTGGCCAGGTCAAGGATGTATCTCATACAGACAACATGGGTGTCCTTTGTGCAACCTAGAACGGCCCTCATAGCTGCATTCTGTACTCTCTCCAACCTGTCTATCTGAGTCTTGGACAGGGAGAGGATGCCCAGCCCATAGTTTATGACTGACAGAACCACCAGCTTCATTAGGAGAAAAAAGAACTCTCTGTTGAATTCCCGCTGAAGCCAAGGTCTTCACTACATTGATGCCCTTCTGAGCCCTGACAGCAACATTGTCAATATGTCCTCGGAACGAAAGTGTCCTGTCCGGAGTGATTCCCAGGTACTTCAGCTCATGCTGTCTGTCTATGAGAAAGTGGTCAAACACAATTGGAGGAGTAGGATCTTTCACAATACGGTTGTTGAGTGAGCACCAGATGACCTGTGCCTTGTCTGGATTGATGACCACATTGTATTCCTCACACCAATCTGCGACCTTGCTCAGCCTGTCCTGTAGCATCCGTCCAACCGCTAGCCTATCGCAACCTTGTCCGTAGACCATCACATCATCTGCAAATGTGAGGATTCTTCCTGCTCCACTTACACCGATTTTGGATGTAAATATGTTGAACAGAACCGGTGATAATGCTGATCCTTGTGGCAGTCCTGAGGCAATCACTACTGGGTCTGACATCCATCGCCCACTTCTCAGCACCACCTTCCTCTCAAACAGAGCTTCGGAAATCCATTGTATGAACCAGAGGTCAACATCCATTTCCATCAGGAGATCCATGAGCTCGCCGTAATCAACTCAGTTGTAAGCATCCTCTAGGTCTACAGCAGCCATTGCTGTCTCCT